TACCATTTGCTGGTTTTAGTCACATACATATTAATTTAGTTGGACTGTTACTCCCGTCTGTTAAGTTATACATACCTTCTTACGTGTGTACGTGTCGACAAACGTTGCTATCCTTATTATGGATATGGCAGCTTATACAGTGGCCAAAGCATTTTTTTTCTAAGTGAATTTCATGGTTTGGTGTACTCGATTGTGTTACTACGGACTAGAGATGACAGTTCGAGTTCCACTTATTTACTGCATTAACGAAATTCTTAAAAGCTAAAATGATCCGCACATCACTGTACCACCCGAATTCCAGTGAACTCGTCAAGAGGTTCCATTGCTGTCTTAAATAGGCCTTTCGATGCTATACTTCTGTTACCTGAGCTGATGTTCTCCCCACAGTGTTGTTGGGATTAAGAGCGACTTTTTAGGAAAACGTGGGTTGTTCCAATACTGAAATAGTCTGTGCTGTCAATTCATGTTTACTTGAAGATTGTATAAACCTTACAAGAAACTCAAACAATGTCAAGCCTCATGCATTTCTCAGACAATTAAGTGAAATCATGGCCACATTATCTCCTACACCCACAAGTGTATTTATTCCCAAAGACCTCGCATGCGTTTTTAAGGTGTGATGTATCAAAAAAGTCTTTAAAAAGCTACCTATACAGGTCCACAGCTAGTTCTATGTGGTACATCCAAGAACTATCGGATATTTATGGGAAACAAAGAGAGTGGTGAGCCTTGATTGTCTTCAACCAACCTTTATCTTTGTACCAGAAGCTTTCAAGACTTATTCTTCAATCACACCTCCTTCAAAGGTACTAAACCTTCACTCCTTGTGTGTATAACTCCAGTTTTCGTTGCTGCAGTTAGTCGGTTCTTTCTTCCAAATGCAATTATCATCTATGTTAATTTAATGTTAAAGGTTTTTATTATTTAAAATTAATCTATTGCTTCATGTGTCTAGTTTATCATGCAAAAATCTAGCAAAGCCTCTACATATATTTATTGTTGCATAATTTTTTTTTGTTTCATGATTCAAAAGTTTAATTTATTGTTCATAAAGGAACAACTAAAATTTCTATTATATAGTAAATTTAAATTTGACTAAAGTATATCGTAAATTTTATATTATGTCGTAAATTTATTCTATAATATCGTAAACGCAATGCAGGAAAAAAATTACAATATAACTTAAATATATACACTCTTTTGCAAAAAAATCGAAGCACCATGAAGGAAGTGGTTGTTTTTGATGAAACTGAATATGTGTATAGCTCATACACAGATAATATGATTAAAAAATCAAGGTCTTAGTACCTGTTCACGGCTCACAATCACCCACTGAGTATTCAAATTAGTAGTTAATCGAACCGCCCCTGGTGGCAATGCATGCTTGAATTAGTCGACGCAAGGAGTGGCAGAGGTTCGTAATGTCATCCTGCGACACATTCTGCCATGCATTTATCAGTTGTCACTCCAGATCTGCGATATTTTGTGGGGCCCGAATCTGATGGATTACTATGCCCCAGACATGCTCAACTGGTGAAAGGTCTGGTGACCTTGCTGGCCAAGGAAGAGTATCAACCGCACGGAGACAGTGCAGAGATATGCAAGCGGTATGTGGCCTGGCATTATTTTATGGAAAATTGTCTCAGGATGACGTTCCATGAAGGGTAATGCAATCAGCCGCAGGATGGTATCAACATATCGTTGAGCTGTTAAAGATGTACGGAGGATGACTAAAGATGACCTGCTGTCATTAGAACCATCACACCAGGGGTTATGGCTGTATGCCCTTGTAAAACAAAAGCTGATTGGAACTGCTCGCCCCGTCCTCTCCAGACACGAACACGGTGGTCATCTGCTTCAAAAGTGAAGCAGGATTCATCGCTGAACACTATACGATGCCAGTCTGATGGCAGCCATAATGATCGGCTGCGACCCCACTCCAGACAACTCCGCCGATGTTGTGGGGTCAAAGGCAAACGCCTTAAAAGTTAGCGTTCTCTTGGTCACTCGACACTGGTGTGTCCAGATTTTTCAAGTCTTTCATTCTTTACAATACTCTCTATTCTTTTGATATTTAGTGCGAATAATGCACAAAACAACCACAACACTTTGCAACCTATACAATAATATTACTGTCAGGTGCTGATAGAATCCATCTTCTAAAGATATCATCTAAGCTTACAGTTTCATGAATAAAATGAAGTGCTACAGATGTATTTCCTTTCATAAAACTATTTTTCTGTAGCTTGTTATATTGCAAGAATGCAGCACACAATACATGTTAATTAACTGTATTAATATTAATAAAGTTTCCATTTAATAGCAGGGTATTAGCAAAGAATTATATACAAATTTTGAGAGCCAAAAATTATATACAAATTTAAAACTGTATAGGATGTTACACTTCTAAATAATTCATACTTCGACATTCGCCTACATACATTTTCAGAACTGTGGAAAGTAACTTGCATAAAGAGGCAAAAATATGCTCAACTATGTGGCAGTCCAGATAACACTACAGTTTATGCCTACATGAAACTTTTTCCATATTTTGCAATTAAGAAGTTCCTAACTGATAAATACTGTTTATTCTGCATAAAAGAAAGAAATCTGCAAAATTATTCCCTAATGAAAAATTAATCTAAATACTTAGAAGATACTTTATTTTGAGAAATGTCAAATTTTAACTTCTATATAATAATTACCATATATTGTACATGTCATAGTATCAAGAAATAACACATAAAATAGATATATGTTTAAAAAGTAAAAATGCAGGATCACTACGAAATCATGGAGGACTGCAATGACTTTGAAACTATATTACTTTCTTTAGAGATAATTTTGAAGAAATTTGTAAGACACAACTTTAAGCACATGTTTAAAAGGAAACAGAAACACTAATAGCAAATTTATTTCATTTAAATGATGATGTGCACAGCATCCCTGAAATGGTAGCAAATCAAAATATATATGTACGAGATGATTTATTTCATTGTAGATAACTTAATATTAGAGATCTTGATTAGGTAATGCCCGAATTTACACCCTGTGACTTGCATAGATAAGAACAGGAGAGAAAATCATAACTGACTTGATTAAAACATACTTATCTTTCAAAAGAAACAATTCTGCAGAAAAACATTTTTTTTGGTACATCATTAGGAGTGCAATCTTCCTCATTAGAATTTTGTATATGCTGTTCCCAACTTGTTACCTTTCAAAACAATGGAAGAATGTGGTTACATGAAGAGACGTCATTTAGCAAAATTTAGGCAGCATAAAAGAATGCATAGTTAGACTGCAGTAGTATTTATAATAAAATTATTGATTAATCTGATTGGCCAAGAACTATGTGCAATGCAGAAGGCTACGACGATAAAACAAAAATAGCTTTCAGATATGACAGTTTCGAAAAAGTTATTACTATTTTTAGAATACAGAGGCGCAAGATGCCAAATTAAAAAGAGGGATTAAGGAGCTGTTGCTAATTTAAAGTATAATTCATAGTTACATATTTTTCTTTTCTGAAACAGTTACTTTCATCTTTGCTATTCCCAATCTTATATAATTAAATTTACTTATTTCTGCAATGGTAATTTCCTCAATCATTGTTTTACTGCAATAATCACTAGGAAATTCCATTTCCAGTTCAGAATTTCTTACCAGGGTTATTAAGAAAAATTCTAAAAAACCTGAAAGCTTTCAGATTTTATATTACGTCCAAAGGTACATTTTTTTAACATTTTGTGTGTTACCTTTATTTATTAAAAATCATATTCTTTGCACGTAAACCATAAAATTCAATTCAACAGCAATTTCACAAAATAATTTTAAAATGAGCATATCTTTAGAATTTCCGTAACACAGTCTCGCGTGCTGGAGATAAAATTCCCCCCCCCATAGTACTGCCATTGCTCATTTTGAAGCCACCGAGTTATAAAACAAATTTCAAATTAGGGCTTTGGTGGAAGAGTACACTATTCAAAATTTGATGTCTCTAGGTACCATTGTTTTATCGCAATGCAAGAAATATATACACATTTATGCAGATTCTTCATTATTTAATTTCTTTAAATATAACACAGGGCATTAATATTTGGTGGCAACAATTTGAAAACATTCCAAAATAAAATTAATGGCCCTTCTTGGCTAACATCCTTTGGGCTAATAAATAAATACAATTCAAAGCAAGGAACATTAATTGTTTATGTCACCATCACTTTGTATTGCAAGTTTAGCAAAATTTTAAGGTTAGATGAAGATCAAAAAGAACCAGTAGCACCAAGCATCCTCAAGACTTGGAATATTTACAAAATGATAAAAATCTTTACTATGCACACAGTATAAGTAACACAAACCATGAAAACTTTCTGAAGTGAAACAGCTCAGATGCAAAGAACAATCTACAACTTCTTTGTTAACAAATAGTTTAATGTATAATGTAATGTATTCATATTGAAAGTAATGTTATTTATTTACATAATATTACTTATTACATAATACTATTAATATTACATTATTATAATATTTACTTACGTAATATTTTATTATGCATAAAATTTTTCTGCATCATCCTTCTCAGAAATTGGATTGAATTTCCACTGAATTTATGCTTTTTTTCTACATTTTTGAAACTCATGAACTCAAAAATTTTTAGCCATAAAATACTATGAAAACTAAATGAATACATTTTCTTTTGGTTTGGCTTGGTTTATTAAATGACGGCAAAGCACTCAAGGGCTATCTGCCTTAAGGAAGGGATGCCTTCGTGGAGAACATTTTAAGGGAAACTGGCTCGTATACACGTTACACATGGGGAAAACCACGAAAACACCCATGCAGCCAGCCAGTTCGTGGGATTCGAACCTCGGACCGAACTACCAGTGTTCAGCGACGTTACCGCTCGGCCGTTGGTGGGCCCTTCATTTTCTTTTGATGTGCAAAAGTTGGGAAACAGGTACATAAATTTGTGTATATACCTAAGAAAATAGACAAAATAGTGAATACATACATTTTTATTCAGCAATTTTTCATATACATAATTATTGCTAGTGTGCTTTTACACAAATTGGCAAAAATAATTACTTTCATGATTAATACATAGCATTTAACAATATATTTCAAAAAAATTGTGAAAAAGATTTAGTACTTAGCATAAATAGCTAATCTTCACTAAATCACGTTTTTATGAGTTAAGGCACAAGACAATATTAAAATAACCAAGACAAAGGTCAATTTGCACATTTTATAGATACATATTTTTGCAATAGTTATACAAATAATATATATAACAAAATACATTTAAAATCTCCCTGAAAAATTTTTAATTTCACAATTCAAAAAGCACCCGATGAATGTTGTTTTGAAACATGTTAATTTGCATTAATATGTAAATAGTTAACATTCATACAAACAATATATATAAATAATCAAGCTTCATAAAATAGGAATTGTTTTTAACATTCAAGAAAGATTATATCAGCACCTTGTTCCAATTCTTGTACTAGTTAGTAATGCTTACAATGCAGCATTTTAAATATTTTGATTATACTGAAAATTGTGTAAAACTCATTAATGCTTATCTAATTCAATAATATACAACAAAGAATTATAGAACACTAAACATTTTGAAATTTTGAATATCACACAACAGTCCTTCTCAACTGCTATGCAAGAATATTGTTTGCATTTATAAACATGTGACTATATACAAGTCTCTCAACATGCTACACATGTAAAAACATGCAGAAATAAATGAGAAAGAAATGAAAGTGACCAAAATAAATGCTAAAATAAGAATCTATCAACAATGTCATTCAAGGCACATTCAGAACTTCTTATATTATTTAGGCAATAACAAAGGTTATATGTGAAATATAACAACTGTGGTAATTGCAAGAACATCATTCACAAAACGCAACTGACATTACAATACAAAAGAACAATAATTGATTTTTTTTAAAAAAACTTTCTTAACAAGTGATCGCTTGAAACAAGTGTAAAAATAATAACATTAAATAAAAGACAAATCTTGTAAAAGATAAACTCTAAAGAGGAAAGAAAAATAATCCTGTATAATTAGAGAAATAACTCTTCATGGAAGCAATACATATACAAAAAGTAAACCAGACACAAAAATGTTTCAATGTTGCAGACATTATAATAGAATATATGTTATTATATGAGAATAAAACTTACAACAGATTGCATTTAAACTCAAAGTCCTGATATCTAATGAACAATTCTTCACAAAAATCAAGTATGCTATAAATTTTATTTTAAATGTTTAAATGATATAAGTTTAAAAGGGCTTAATAAAGGATTAAAAAAATAAAAAGATTGGTAAATAGTTCTTTCTGAAAGTAAAGTTGCTATGCACATTAAATTTTCTTTAATTTTATTCATAAATAACAGCTAAATAAAAAAGAAGAAACGAATTTCTTTATTAATAATACTTTTATTCTTTACTATTAAATTAAAATTACAATTAATTACTATAACATACTTTTGTTTTATAGCAATGAAATAATGTGAATTCAAAGGAAAATCACATTTAGATAATACAAAAAACAAAATATTCATATATTTTTGGCAACAATAATGAATTTCATATCATAATACAAATACCTGATTAATCACATCATAAAACATATACCTGATTATTTATTTATTATAATAATTACAAATACCTTGCTTATTTAATTTGTTTCAAAAAGCATTTCGTACAATGATGCAGGCAATCTGCATAAAAGTGCCCGAGCATATAATTATGCACATCAAGCACTCTCCTTTTCACATAGCATATATATCTAAAGGAAAATATGCTTCAGAATTCTAAATCTTGTAGAGATTTTAACAAGTGCCTCAAATTTAAAATGCAAAGGGATGAAAAATATAAACTGCCATATGGAATTGCCAACCATTAAAAAATTCAAGGTGGACTCATGAAGGTTTTTATTTGTACTTCAGTTGTCAGGAAGGGAGGAATATCCCTCACCATTTTCCACTTGCGTAAATTCTATGCAGTCCACAAGATAATTAAAAAAAAAAACTATGATAATAAGAAATGGTAATTTTTACATTAATTTTTTTAAAACGAATATGTGTTGTTCTTACATCTTAGTAATAAACAACCTAAAAAACTTATAAAATCATGATATGTCTAAAGGACATGTGTAAAAAATCTTATATTTACATAATCATGTCCATTATTAGCTCATTCAATATGCCCAATTTACTATACTTCCCAAATCTGATAATTATTGAAATAAGCAATTTATACAAAAAATAACAAGCCAAACAAGAACAGATTACACTATGTCATATAATAAAATAATTTTAAAATAACCAGTACTGTCTTTTCTCTTGCAATCTTGATCTGCATATGTTCAGTATGAACTGTTATTTTCTTGCCTATGCAATGCTTTGATAAAAACCATATTTATTGCTCAATTGTTGTTGGAACTGCCAATATGCCACATATGCAATACTGTTTCAATGCTTTACCATCTCTTGGATAGCAGGCTAAAATATCAAGATCTTAAAACACATTCATGTAGCTAAACAGCAGGTAGATGGTCAGAATAAAGAATTAGAATTGCACTATTTCTATTTAAAATGAAATATGGTTCACAACATAAATTTATAATTAAAAACGTTAGCCTTTTTGATGGATATTACAGGATTGATTACTAGTATTAGGGCACACATCTCTTATTAGTATTAGGGCCTTGGAGCATCTGATTATTAGACTGCTAAATGAAAAGTTGACAAATGAGAAGTTAAAAAATATATATATATTTGTTTAGTAATTAAAATACATTTAACACATAATGCAAGTAAAATATCGAATATTGATTGCTTAGAGATTCAAAAACTGTTGTTAAATCAACATTAGTATAATATTAACAACAACATAATCTTTCACTTCAGCATCATAAATAAACTTATAAAATTCTCACACTGATTTTTATTATCTTCTTTAGAATCTCTCAATTTATTTTTTAACTAGAATTAATATGGAAGAAAAACTACCCCCTGTTAAATCTCAACTAGAATCACCTTTGTGCGGATTCATTCTTAAATTATTGATTTATGGATTGATTCATAACAAATCAATATGGATCTTTCCATATAACCAAAGCCAATGCCAATTAACAGCCAGTATGGAGAATTTCATTTAACACCACATAATTCATCCAAATGAAAAACACACTATCTGAAAACATATGCAAAAGAACACTGACAGACGTTAAAATGAAACATTTTGTTAAAGCAGAAAACTAAAAATACAAAATATGTTTGCTAAAATGGTTCTAAGACAAAGTAAACCAGTTATTAACAGTTTACAAGGTTATATTCACATCTAAAGGTACATAGATTGAACATAGCACACAAAAATGAAGATTTATTGTGGCACAATGTAAAGTTACATGCAACAGCTAAACTGTATAAAACACATATAGTGATCTATGCCTGTTAAAGCCAATATATTACAAAAATATACGTAGGCAGAAAATAAGTATAGGTTTGCATCAAGAGCACTTAAATAGCCACTCTATTATACTTGTATGGCACAACATGAGAAAGCTTTCTAATAATTATTTACATAGGATATCAAAATATTTTAATATGTAAAACAGCTAATTAGGTTAACAAAGGGAGAAAAAGAACTGGTGGAAAAATACACACTGATAAACCTGCACTACAAAAATATTTCTAATGCTAATATAAACTTCATTCCATAGACAGAAAATATTTATAAGAAAATCAGGATTAAAACAATCTCCCGGGCACGTTTCTTTTTTTTAAGAGATCCTTACCAAATTAAATAATGAAAAATTTTCAGTTAGAGATGGCAATAGTTATCGATTCCTATTTTATCGAAATTTATTTCTAAGCAGTGATGGGCAACTGATAAACATTCACCTAAGAACACGGTAAAGACAAATATGGATCTGGCAAATATGGTATCAAATACAACATCCATATACAAATGCAAATAAAAAAATAATTCTAGCAGTCTTGTACAAACAAATGTAGTATTTCACACAAAACTGAATATTATTGTGAATAGCATTGTTTATTTTGTGTGTAGAAGAATAATTTTTAAATACATTGCTTTATATATATGAAGTAATAGATAAAAGAGATGTATGGTAGTAAAATATTTAAGATTAAAATTTTTTTTTTCAACTTTAAATGAATTAGCTTTTTTATAATGATACAAAACAGCATAAAACATATTATTCTAAAAAAAATAATGCATCGTGAACAACACAGAACACTGTGCTAAAATGAAAAAATATTTCAACAAAGCTCAATTCTGAACTCGTAAAACTCAAACTAAATTCGAAGTTTTAATAGTGCAATTAAAATGTATTCAGACCCAGCCTCCTGTTAGTTTGTGGAAGAGATCTTCATTAAGTGTTTGGTTTTGATCCTTTGACCTCATAGATAAGAAAATATAACCACCGATGAATTCATGCACAATTTTGCAATCAGCCGATAGACAACTAAATGCAACCTTTTCCTCTTCAAACTGCACACGAACCTGCCTTACTTCCCAGTTAACATTCCACACTTTCATTGTGTTGTAACGCCAGGTTTTGATGTGGTCTCCAGTAGCAAGATCCATCCGCATCAATCGGTTGAAAGCAATACCAAGCAGTTCCTATCACAAAAGAATATTCTTAAAATATACATAAATATAACACAATAGCACAGTATTCTGTAACACTTAAGGAAACGTCAACCAAAATGGCCACACATTTTTTAAATTGAAATTTAGAGAAAAATTCTTAAACTTATTTTTTTTAATTGTAAAACAATAATATCAATAGTTAGTAGTTCAAACAAAGTATTTAAAATAGCAACAGTAAAATATTTCACATAACTTGGCATACTTGATATGACCACATGCTTGTGTTACCGATGAAATTTAATACATACACTACCCAACATTGAAAATGCAACACCAAAAATTATGTAAATTTCAGGATAGACACATGTCATTGAGTTATTTGAATGATGTAAAATGAACAGCTTTCCAACGCATGCTGAAGAAGATATAAGGGAAAGAACCTCCAGAATGTTCAGCTTTTGTGTTGTTACTTCTGTTAGGGAAATCATTGTAGAAAAATTGTTCTTGTTTTAGAGGACGCATGTAATATCAGAGAATGCCAGGCTGTCATCAATGAAGGCAGTTCCAGCAGACAGACAATTTTATGAGGGGCATAGTAATCAGACTGAGAAAGGGCAGGTTCGTCCGTATGGTAAATCTCGGCTGACACAGATCTGGACGCGTCCATAGTGCACAGGCTGTGGCGACGATGGTTGGAACACGGAAATGTGACAAGTTAGAGGGATGGTGGTGCAGCCAGAGTGACATTAGCATGCATGGATTGGATGCAACTGATGACAAGTGGTGGCGCAACCACAAGCCATTTCTACCTCTATTCTGCAGCATGTTCAAGGCACCCTAGATGTTCTCATATCCACCAGAACCATCTGTTAAGAAGACTTACATTCAGAGCACATCATAGACAACAATGTCTGCAATGGTGAGCTCGAGTGATGTGGGTGACTGAATGGCACAGGGTTGTGTCCTCATATGAGTCGCATTTCTTTTTCTCCAGTAATAGTCACAATGTACGAGTGTGGCATCGATGTAGAGACAGGTCCAATTAGACAGAAATTGTGGAACACCCCACTGCGAGACTTCACAGTATGGGGCACAATTATATACGATTCCAGGTCACCACTAGTTCGTATTTACGGCACCAGGATGGTCCAATGATATGTGGATGATATGTGCGGCTTGTGACACCTTCTTTCAGGGAGTGCCCAGTGTCCTTTATCAGCAAGATAACGCCCAACCACACACTGCTTGAACAGGCCAACGTGCTCTGCAAGGTGTACAGATGGTTCCCTGGCCACCGTTCTCTCCCAATCTCTCACCAATCGAGCACACTGGGATGTGACTGACGCCATTTGCAGATTCTGCCATTGCCGTGTTCAGAAAATGAAATGTGTCAAACGGTTGACCGGGAATGAAGAACCATTCCTCAGGACGACGTGTGCTGTCTTACTCACTCTGTACCTAGATATGTTGCTTCATGTATCGGCATCCAAGATGATCCTACAACCTACAAAGATGACGCGCCTTTCGCTCTGTACTATGCATATCATTTCAAAATAAAAACACTTACTATACTATTCGTAGCTATCTCTCTGTTTGCCGACTTTTATCACTTTCTGGCCACTTCTTCTTGGTGTTGCATTTTCAATGCCGAGTAGGGTATAATATGTAATGTGAATATAATATATATAATGAGCTTGATTTCATTTTAACATTATACAATAATGAAATTTTTGGTTGGCATTTTGCATAACTTTAGAAGCGAACTGACAGCACTCAATTTGGGGCTATATTAACAGAAAAAAAAAAAAAATTTGGAGATTTTTATCTGGTAGCCATAGTATCTTGATAATGGGATTCTTGTGGACAACAAAATCAGGATATAAAAACTACAGTTAATTTCCAAGCACCATGATCAGTGGATCCCCACTCATGCGGATCTTTACAGAAACAAAATGACGGACAAATTAGCAAAGGAGGGCTGTGCTCTTTTAACTCCCTTCTCTTCCACCCTCACCTATCTGGAACATCACCTCTCTGAAAAAATCATAATTCATGGTAGAATGGCTTGTGCCCCACCCACCCATCATTGGTGCTTTGCCAACAAGCCTAGTTTGACTCTAAATTTTGAGTGTGACAGGAGCTCCTAGAAATTACTCTCATGTATTGCCAGCAGTCATATAAAGTATCTCTTTTTCAAGAAGTGCATGAGAATCTTTTCAACCCACACCAAGTGTCAAAAACATTGGGCTTCTGCCGAACATCTTTTGGTCTGTTTGGACCTCTCTAGGGAGGATATTTATACCAATCCCCTCCTCCTACTCGACTTTCTTAAGAGTCAACGGTCTTTTCTACCTTGTCTGGCTTCGTCAGAATCTGAAGGAAAAGCAACAACTAACTAAAGCTAAATTTCTTACTTTCAATTAATATTTATGTTTCTATTTTATACATAATAAAATGGTTACATAATTCAGGAACTTTACCGCTCAACTGCTGGTGGGCTTTTCAACTTTAATATTAACCCTTTTTACTTGCACAAAGTACTTCCTTAGTTAAGCATGCATTTTTCATTGTTATCATAAATCAGAGGTTTCTAAATCCTATGCTGAAAGAATTAGGGGTAAAATTATACAGGGGGGAGAAATATGTGATTAAATATGGTATATATTTAGAAATATATAATTCTTAAAATTAAAAAAAGATGCTTCTTTCAGTATGCAAATATTGAAAACCATATCCACTTTACAGCAGTAAAAAACAATTTTCTGAAATTTGACACGAAAACAAGAAACTTAATTCTCTCGGATGTAACTAAAATCATACTGATTACTTATTTTTATTAGATCATTATAGTCTTAATTTTAGCTTATTTAGTCATCAAAATTCATCTTGAATAATGAAGAATCTGCATAAATGTATGTATATTTCTTGCATTGTGATAAAACAACAGTACCTATAGCTGTCAAATTTTTAATGACATAATCCTGCACTGTTATATGAGCATCTGGAAGCAATAATTTGGAATTTGTTTTATTATTGATTTCCTATTTTGTAAAATTTTAATGAATTTTTGATAAACAAACTCAATGATTTCAAAGCAAACAATGGCAAAACGACGGTCCCTAGAGCCATCAAATTTTGAATAATAATGTACATTTCCACCGGATATGGGCATCTGAAAGACCAAATTTGGATTTGTTTTATTATCTATTTCATATTTTGTAAAAATTTAATGAATCTTTTATTAACAAACTCAATGATTTAAAAACAAGCAATGGCCACACTGTACAGAAAAGGGGGGGGGCATTTTTCTCTCCAGCGTGCAAGACAGTGTATTGAAAATTTTAAAAATATGCTCATTTTAAAATTATTTTGCAATATTGCTGTTGAACTGAATTTTATGGTTTATGCGAAGAACATGATCTTTAATAAATAAAGATAACACACAAAACATTAAGAAATGCCCCTTTGGGCGTATCAGATTTTTATATTTTTTAACCCAAAGCATTAGCTCAGAAGGGCTATTAATTTTATTATGGCATTTTGCATATATTCACTATAAATGGCGAATCCCTTTTGAAATAGTTGCCCTGTATTATATTAAAAAATTAGAGCACTGTATTATATTTAAAGAATTTCAATAATGAAGAATCTGCATAAATGTATGTATGTTTCTGGCATTGTGATAAAACAACGGTACTTCGAGCCATCAAATTCTGAATAAAGTACGTTTCCACCCTAATATGGGCATGTGCAAGCCCAAATTTGTAATTTATTTTATTATCTATTTCATAGTTTGTAAAAACTTTAACGAATTTTTAATTAACAAATTCAACGATTTAAAAGATAGCAATGGCAACATTGTACCATGGAGGGGTATTTTTATCACCAGCACACAAGACTGTGTATTGGAAATTCTCAAGTTATGCTCATTTTAAAATTATTTTGCGATATTGCTGTTGAAGTGAATTTTATGGTTTAAGTGCAAAGAACATGATATTTAATAAATAAAGGTAAGACACAAAATGTTAAAAAAACATCCCTTTGGGCATAACGCAAGATCTGAAAGCTTTCGGATTTTTATATTTTATTTTCATTTTCATTTTCATATCTGAAGTCTCTTGGTTTTTTTATTTTTACTGGTTTTCACTTTTCAATATTATCCAAATATTTCTCAAAATCTAATTCATCAATGGAAGCTGATATATAGAGACTCAGTCGCAATGTCTACAACCTGTCTTGATTTGAATACTCGTTGTTCTGAGAACAATTTCATTCTTAGTGAAAGTTTATAGATGGCTTTCTTTGCCTTTTTAATTTGTTCATCATCCAACAAAATTTGGTGTTTTGGATCTACATATATTGAACCCAGCAAGATCTCATAGTCTAGCACAGTAGATTCTCTTTTTTCATTGAGGAAATGATTCCTTCTGCAATAAGCCCTGTCATTTTAAAAAGAACAAACATCACATTTTTCCCTTCTTGCAGAAACAAAATAGTTTTTACGTAGTTAATATATGGTGTAGAAAGACGAGTTTTCTATTCCGCAAGGTCATTCCACAGTCTTTAGCATTAGTGTTATCTACATTTTCTAAAAAAAAGTTCTTAATTCTAACAACCTCTTTATCATCAAATATGTACTTTCACGTAACATTGCTATATCAATAATTGTTCCTTTTCCTGCTCGCTTCCTAATAATGGCATCATTTTGGGGAGTCCTTGTTGCTAACTTAAATTTAACAATGAGATTTTTTTCAAATTTTGCTACAATAATGCCATCTATGAGATGAAGAAGTAACTAAATGGGTTAATTTAATGAATAATGACAAATATCACATCCATCCTTCTTCCTTACATTTATTTATTAATATGCCAATCAAATGGAAATTAACTAAATATTATTAATGTATATAGTCCATAAATAAAAATAATAACTCAGTTTGTCATTAATTTTTTTTAATTCACTTTTATTTCATTTCAAATCAAAACTGTCCAACAAAAATTGGAGTCGGAGTCAATGTGCTTTTAGCGACTCCAGCTCAGACTCCTTTTACCCACAAATCTGCCAAATGCCCCGAGTGCAAATGAAAAGTTTATTCTCCCAATCTATTGTTTTATCAAATGAAACATTTACAGACTCCCCTCCCCCAGGAGAAACAATCTGGCAGGTAACTTCTGCTATGATATTTTAGATTCTCTCATTTATATGTAGAGCAATTCAACATATTTTACAAAATTTATTTCAAGATGTTTAGTACTACTTGTATTATTTCTTTTCTATCACATATTTAAATGGGTAATTAAAATGGAGTCCTTGTTTGCCTGCTATCTCCAAAGATAAAATACTTATGTCATCATTACCTAGAGTTAAAGGAAATCACTGATACTCTTCTGACATTCAGCTACACAGACCATCTTATAAAGTATGCTAAACAAGTTTGTTTATCTGAACATAGCAAAGAAGAGCTAACTGCATATGGGAGGACAACTTTGCAGAGGAATTTCTAATCTATGCTATACATGTGGATAGATTCTACAGAGTGTTTGTTCTCCTGATTTGAAAAGAGACAAAAATTAGATTATCAGCTGAATGCACACTTTCATTCATTAATCCCATTTACATACAATGCTGGTCAAACATTTTTTAAAACCTAGAATTATTAAGTCCTTCATTCCATACGTTTCCTTCTATTCTATACAGCATTTATGCAAAAACAGACAACTTCCAAAACACTCCTATCCTATTTATACTTGCCCTAAGCACAACAAAGTACTATAACAACAACAAAAAAAAAATTAAATAAATAAATAAATAAATAAATTCTATTACAGTTTTAATGTTCATAAAGAAATGTCTTATGAATACAGCATGAAATGCCCTTTCTAATAATAGGATTAAGATACATGTGAAGCTAAAGCAGAGAGATGAAACACAATATAAAATTGATCAAATTGCTTATAAAATTAGAAACACTTACATCCTTCCTACTTCCATCAAATCGCACAACAAAGAGAGAGATCCCGAATTCTGGAAGAGCTTGCCAGGCTTTAATGTAGCTCAGTTTTGCTTCTATAAGATTGAGATCTTTCACATTTGCATGAGCTTCCAATATTCGTTGAATAATCTAAAAGTATTAATCACATACTAAACAAATAAAATGAATACATCTCATTCTAAACAGAATAACTGCTTTTTTCTTTGAAGAAGAAATTTATTTATAAATAATATTAAGATGATCCTATTTTGCAATTCAAACAGGAAAACTAAATAATGAAAATTTTAAATTTATTTTTAAAGCAAATGAAAGGGTCCAAGCAAAAATAGAACAAAAAAATAGAAGCAGAAGTTTCACAACAAGCATATGAAATTAATAGCAGTTTTTACAGCTTGAATTACAGAAATTTTTATTAATCATGATTTTCTTATTATTACATACATATAAATAATATATATATGCACACTTTTCAAAATAAATTTACAGTTAATACCTATGGTTTCCCAAACATTTTAATACTGTACCATAATTTCTCAAATGACAATTTATTGTAACCTATGACACATAATGAGAGAAAGAAATAAAGAGACACAAACTGTCCTAGAATGAAATTACTAAAAATTAATTAATAAATGAATAAATATACACTTACATATGTATTTCTATTATTAAAAAAATTAATTTATATCTGTGTGCATCACACTGTGGGAAGACAGTGGTACTTAAAACCACCAAATTTTGAACAAACAGTCTTGCACCTGAACATATGCACATCAAAACCCAAATTCTACAACTGTGTTTTACTTATTTCATGTTTTGTTTGAATTAAATGAACTTTTGATTAACAAACTCAGCAATTTAAAAGCAGTGCACTATTTGTGCTTGAATAAAACATTTTTCTCCTCCACATGCTAATGTGTTGCTATTTAGCAAAATGTTGTTTTATTTACCTTTCAAATTTAATCAATAAACTAATTTACCGTATTTAAAAGTTATGTGTTGCTACTGTTCAAAATAAAACACCTTTAACTTTCAATGCACAGTGCTGCCATCAGGCAAAGTGCCAGATATTTAACTTTCAAATTTACTATCTGTTATAAACAAACTAAATAATTTTAAAGCAATACATAAAGCTCCTAGTATTTTTTTTATCTTATGAACATCTGCATTTTTTTTAATTAATAAAAGATTTTTTTAATGCAATATGCATGTAACTGATATAGAATCCTCAGCTTTTATTTTTCCTATTCTTGTAGCCTTTTTCATTAAAAAGGTAAATCTCTTGTTGACGTGTTTGTTATATGTAAGGGCAAATATAAAGACATAAGTGATGTGTATGGTTCGTAATAGATCAAATACATACAGAACCGATGATAGCTTGATAAAATTTATTCAGGGTTGCCACTTGAGGAGGAGAACGAAATTCCCTACTTTTCCAGGTGTGTTTGAAAATTCCATTCTATCCGCATAGTGCACATTGGCTGCGCCGAGAAGTAAATTAATTATGGTACCACTTGAAAACTCCAAAATTTGCCAATTGCATATGACTTATTATATTTATAATCCTGAAAACATTACTATTACAGCTATAATAGGAGTTGTTTTCTCCACTGAAGATTGAGATTAGAATCTGCCCAATCTGGATTAAAAAATGAGATTTTTTGCAGACATTTTGGAGCTAAATGAAAAAGAAATCTATTTAATGATATTTTAAAATAAATTCAGGTATTTTATATTCAATTAGCAGCATACATAAACAAAAATATGTGCATTAAATTTCGTGATAGTATGGCATCATACTGCTAGATTTAGTTTCAGAATTATGCCAGAGAAATTTGCTTGAAATTTGAAAGTATTATTACCTAATAATAAATAAATTTAGAGGAAAGAAGAACATTAAATGATATAAATAACATTAAAATGAAGTTAATTACTTAAAAATTGAATTACAATAATCAATGTTATTTTAGCGAAATATTAAACGTTAGTTTAGATGACTGGTTACTATTTTTTTATTTTACTGCAAAATGAAAAATAAGGCATTTATTAAAATAAAAAAGAAAAGGAAAAAAAAAAAAAAAATTCAAAAGATTTTGCGTTAAAATCCTAGTCTTTGCTACGACCTTTGTACAATTTTGAAAACTGCCACCAACACTAAAATGACCATTTTACTACCCAACACCTTCTTAAATAGAGACTTTGAGACAGAAAGATACAACTGTTGTTACTGCAGGGGTGTAGCTAGAAGGGGGGCATCTGTCCCCGGGCGCAGAATCCAAGAGGCGCCAAATCTTCAGTTGCCCCTGGGCGCTGAAAACCCTAGCTACGACTCTGTGTTACTGCTCATCATGTCATCGCCAAATCCCATATGTACCATACACAGAGGTTAGAATAAAAATATATATATTGTTGAGATAAAAAAACTTCTCTGCAACAGGAATGGCACCGTCCCAATGTAGACGGAAACAGCTGCATATGCGCGAAATATCTGTCACCGAAGCTCGCAAAGTTAAAGTTTATATCAAGAGTACATAAAATGAATATCGTTTTAAATTTCCTTAAACTTTAAAGAAAAAGAAAATATTTTTTGTGCGAGTAAATTAATTAATACACTGCTGGCCATTAAAATTGCAAAAACATGAAGAAAAGCAAATACAAAAAATATATTTATTTTACGTAAGAGTAAGACATGAAGACAATTTGATTAAATTTGTAAGCAGTTTAGGGGTTTACAGGAGGGCGAAATTAGCAGGAACAACAGCCACCCCTGGCAGCTAAAACGGCCTTTACCCGGTTAGGCATGGAGTCAGACAGGGCTTGGATGACAGAAACGGGCAACGCATTCCATGCTGCTTCAAGTCTATGCCATACTTCATCAATGGTATTAGCTGGAGAGGGGTGGCGAGCCAGTCTCTCAGCAACCCATGACCAGATGTTTTCAACGGGTGACAGATCTGGAGACCGTGCAGGCCAGGGCAGCAATCGAATACCCTGTGTATTGACAAAGATCAAAACTCTGCATGTAACATGTTGTCATGCATCTGGAGGCCCTGCAGACCAGGGCAGCATTCGAATACCCTATGTGTTGACGAAGATCAGAACTCGATGTGCAACATGTGGTCATGCATGATCTTGTTGGAAAATGGAATTTGGCAGGCCTGGAAGATAGGGTGCAACCACCAGACGTAAGACATCAGAAATGTACCGATCTACATTCAAATTACTGTCGATGAGAACCAGAGATGTGCGTGTCGTGTATCCAATGGCTGCTCAAACCATCACACCAGGTGTAAGGCCTCTAAGCCAATACCGAATGCAAGCAGGCGACGTGCGGTCTCCTCGAAGCCTCCAGATACGTATATGGCTATCAGAATACCGCTTACAGAACCGGAACTCGTCTGAAAAGATGAAGTTGTTTCACTCCTGTATTCAGTTTTGTTGTTTGGCGCACCAGTGTCGCCATCTCTCTCTATGCTGCACTGTCGAGGGACGCTGAAGTAATGGTCTTCTTGTTTTAGAGAACTTGTTTAGAGAAGCAAACGTCTACACACAGTATGAGCGGATACTGGACGTGCTACAAATATGCCTATTTTCTGACTAATGGTCCATAATGTGGTTGTACGCTTTTGCAGGGCTGACCTCACAATATATCTGTCCTCGCAAGCGTTATTCATGGTAGGGCATTGAGATCCTGCATGCCATTCAGTACGACCCTCAGCAACCCACCAATTTCATATTTGCATGACAGTAGTTTTATATCGATCAGTGCGACGGGCGACACCACGGAACGACGGAATGATAATCCACACTTTTGATAGGAAACGATCCTGCCTCTATTGAATTCCGACACTTGCTGATAAGCATTTCTTCTTATTATTCGAGGGATAACATGATATTCTGATCAAACTCTGACCTTACAAATCGCTTTTCAAATGAGAAATCCACTACACAACTTTTCTTTTATGCAGTGCTTGGGATGTCATTTCTCCCTCCTACTTCGTCTAAATGCGCTGAAATACTAATCAGTTGCATATCCCAATGTCTTCTTTCTTTTGTACGATTTTGACGCGTGTCAGATCATTCTTTCCTGGTGTTGCAATTTTAATGGCCAACAGTGTAGATTAGCTATTTTGAGCAAAAAAAGTACGGAAATCCAAGTACAAAATAATCGCGGAAGTCAAAGAACATTTCTTCTTAACACATGCTCTACAATTTCCTGTACACATTGCACAGGGAAGAAATTCTCACCGTCAAGTTCCGTCGCCAAATCCCTTGGCGAGTTTTTCCCTCTGCTTTCTAGCGGCACTCTAGCAAACTGATTTACATTACGTCTATGGAACCTTTCTTTCTTTACATAGACATCTTACATTAGAACAGAGTACATGGGAGCTATTCTAGACTCCATGGTACCATATATTAGGATTAAACTGATTTTGTTGTATACAAGAATGATAAGGTATTTTCTTTAGTTCAACATAACCTGCACATGCAAGTCTTAGGATTCTTGAGGTTACTGGAAACCAAACTTGCTGTAAACTTGCTCTGCCTTTCTAAAAGACAATCTGATTGGAGCTGCGAAAATTGGCTCAACAGAAGCTGCCCGAATGACGCTCATCCCATACATAATTTGCCAACAAAGCCATTGCTTCCAACACTGGTGCAAAACTCGCTTTTTGGGGGATTGCCCTAGGATATTCCCCGACTTTTTTGGTCAATTTTCGAATTCCCCAACTTTTTCCGGTTTTTTAGGTAGCGTGGCAACCCTGTTTACTTATGCCAAAAGGACTTTGAGTTTTTACAGTTCCTAAACATTCCACAAAAAGAAATAGTCATACAGCTCTTCTCAGTATAATAGAGTATAATCAGTAACTACGCTTGAAACTACAGTACAAAGTTGAAATCCGGATGATTATTATCCGGAATGATCTAAAATCTGGACCTCAAAACCACCAACAAAGTTTTTCTAGTAGGCTTTACGAATGCGCATTTGATTCCCCTCCTTCCATGCATAATAAAACATTTACTTTCGCTTCGATACTAAATAAAATATCTTGTTACTAAAGAAACAATCTGTAGTATGGTTCCAGATTCAAAAAATAACGCTACCGATAGTGAAGAAAGTGACAGAGAAGTTACTGAAAATGAGAAAATTTCAATTGACTTGACAGTTAGTCGGAATTCTCCAAACAGCAGTTACAGGACTTAGTGTAACTTAACAAGAGATTATGTCTGTCTACAGAATTAAAGAGAAAGTAGTAGCACAAAAAACGAAGCAACAAACAAACAAATAAATATTAGGCTTTTTTTTTTTTTTTTTCTTTTTTGTAAATTTTGATACCCTTTAGAGCATAAATATGTCATTATTTCATAAACCACGATTTCATATTTTTAATTTTATAATTTCTACATGCCATCTTACTAGATTTAAACTGATGATCTAATATCCGGAAATATCCTGAATCCGAAGTCGGCGAAGTCCCGACAAGTCCGGATTTCGGACTTTGTACTGTACTAAGAATGTTAAACAAAGCGTAATGAAGAGCTATGTAGCAATAATGCATAATTTTATCCTGCAGTGTCAGATATTACATGAAAATTTTGCACCAAAATAACAGAAATGTAGTACCTGCTGCATTTATAAATCTGGGAAATTTAATTATCTAACCCGCTTTACCTATGTGCAAAATTTTCATTCTGTCAACTGTATCTGCACGAACAAAAAATAAATACACAAATCATATTTTACTTTTATACATATAAGCATATATTTAGAGGCTAAAATATACCTTTTGACTCTTCAATTTTTTAATGAACCGTGGAGCAACCATATCATCAGGATTGATATCGATTTGTGATGGGCTAATCACTGGAGCAGGAGCTGGCTTCTGCATATTCAAAAAATCCTGGATTGACTTCACTTCCAAATCATATGAACTGTCGGCCATGGTTTTTCCTTTGGCAGCAAGCCTACAAGCTGCCATCCACTTTGCATATTGCTCTTCCTGCAAACATTTAAAAAGAAAAAAAAAAAAAAAAAAAAAAAAAAGATTTATCAAATTACTCCTAAAAACATGAATTTTTTAACACAAAAACACAAAGGCTAACAGCATTTTCAATATAAATTTTAAAAAAATTACACAATGATAACGAGTCAGTTCTGGATGAGTGGGGTGGAGGCATTCACATATCAAAATCTCTCCTGTGATCATGCATTATAATCAAAGTCAATTGATTATTAAAAACTTAACAATTAAACTAGTTCACAAAATGTTTACTTTTAGATAAAATTATAAAACCAGATAATATTTTTCTTGAAAAACACTTCTGTGAAACTATACACATATATATATTATAACATGCTCATTGGGTGAATAAGTATATTCACAATTTCAATTTACATACACTTTATGTACATTCTACATTTTTTTTTCATATGTATGCATGTACTGCCACAAAAGAAATATATCAGTATCATTTTCAGCTGGCAAAATATATTCAAATACAATTTTTCTTCATATGAGTCAAAATGAAAAGCAAAAGTATAAGTACAGAAAAGTACAGAAACATTTTTTTTTATTAGCAAAAACGAAGATGATGCCTTGAATAAAGTCATCAACAAACAATAAAAGAATATATAGGTTAGGTCAGTTTTACATGATATTTTGACTCCTTACGTAAACTACATGACAGAAAGGAAGTGTCATTAAAGACCAGAGATTCCCAACCTTTTTTTTGCATTGATCCCATTTAAAAGAATAGTTTTTTCATCAACCTGCTTACAGTTTCTCTGTAATATCTCTAAACTTCTTTCTATACTTTCTCATACAACATTATCCCAATACTGACGCATATAACTTTCAGATAACAATTAGATTAAGAACATAAACTAAAGTTCTGAAAAAATGGTTCATAAGGTTTATGTTTTATTACTTTTTTTCATATTATTATTTTTAATTTCACAACTATGACCAAGTTTTTAGAAACAATAACAGATTTTAATTGAATGAAAGTTTGATAAGATGGTTGCACTGTACGTATTGATGCAATTTTTAAATATCTGGCATAAAATAAATCAGCTCATTCAAAAAAATTCAGCTTGTTTTTTTGTTTTTCATAGTAGACTTGACTACAGCCTGCTTCCACTTGGTTATGAAGAGGGGGAAATCAATACTGTTTCAATAATAACTTTTATTTTGTAATATTTCTCTCAGATACCTTTTATACATAAAAAATTGTTTTTAAAATTAATTTTCATGAAGTAAAAATATTTAATTTCTTCAATTTCACTAAAACAAAGGATCTTTTCCTCCACAGGAAACTTTTCAATTTAAATGCAAATTTTGATATATTTCATTCTGGCAAAATTGCACATTTTATAGCAAAGAAAAAATTATCTATGTTAAACACAGCAATATAAAAATGTAAAATCAGACAAAGTACCTTAAAATTGGTTAACATTTTAAGGTTAAAACAAATGTTCACATAAGGTTCAATCAGGACCACTTGTAAATACATTTACAAGTGGTTTTACAGGGTTTTAAAAAAATTTCATTGGCATAAACTTTGAGTTTAAAGTTTAATTTAAGGTTGGCTTTTTTTTTGGGGGGGGAGACTGATTTTATTAGGAACTACTACATTTACAAGGCATGCCTGGTATTAAGTGCAATAAAAATATTAACAATACCCTGGATCTATGATAAAATAGATTATGAATAAATTAAAACATACTGAGCTGCATCTTATCCAGTATTCAGTCATTCCCTCGTGATTAGGGACTTCCAGCCTGATTCCATATTTACCATGTGAAAGGTTGACATCAGGGGTAACTTCACATCCTTTAAGGAAAGCAATAACATAATCATTCACATAGAAAAATTCACATAAACATGAAAACATACTGAACTCATATTAAATATACTGGCTGAATGGTGAAAAGTTGACAACTTACCTTTAAGACAAATATTTAAACTTGGACTATCATCTTTGGATTTATGTAATGACAAATATGTATCTCTCAGAGTAATAAAGTACCTTCTGAAACCTTTTAGTGTGAAACGTTTTGGTCTGTAAAATAAATATGTCTATAAATAAGCAACATAAATAATAATGCCAAACATTTTAAATACATTGCAATTATGTCATACAGTTTTTTTTTTAATTTAATACATTTATGGAATCTGACTCATCATAAATTAAACTGAAATATAAATGGAGACAAAAAAAAGAAAGGTTAGCTTGATCTTCCTTTAAAGTTAGTTGGCTATAATTTAACTAATTTATTGTATTTTCTGCTATATAATTAGTAGAAAAAATATAAATGAAAGGATTCACAAACAGCAAACCTATTTTTCTCAAAAATGGTTTGTAAGAATGGTGCAATGGTGGTAGCTCAGGTAATTATAATTACAATGGAACACTACTTCACTTTTTGCTCCTGTATCAGTTACAATACAATTTATAAAACATTAATCAGTGCCCCAATGTTATTTCAAATAAATCATAGATCAGGACATTTGAACAAAGTGGCTCAACCACAAACATGAAACAAGCAGGACAGTCTTGCTTTTAGTGAGGCAAAGTCAACTTACATTTCAAATTTTTCCATTTTGTCATTGTTTTACTTTCTACTTGCATGTTTGCACATTTTTATAGTTTTTATTTTTGTGTATACACACTTTCACAGTTTTCAAACTGGCTTGGGTGAATACTGGCTCTGGCTCCCTTTATTAAATACTTAACTCAAACTTAATAAAGCTTTTAAAAGCAACTTTTACTCTTTACATTTCCTTCTAACATGTTCCCATTTCAGAACAGGCCTTAATATCTAATTCACACACAGTCTGTTATTAGTAACTGCTGCTACTACTATACTCAGGAGTGAATAATTTTATTTTGAATTTATTCTATGGGCTCCACATAAAGAAATTTAACGAAAAATCAGAAGTGCCTATAATAGCCCAGTCCCTTGCACATTTTTCTTGCCAGCCCTTTTTAAAAAACATTTGACTCAAAAACTTCCAATTTATGAAAACTTAAAAGCTACACACAGACCAAAAAGTACATTAAGTACAATAAAAAGAAAAATAAGGTACAAACAAAAAAGTAGAATAAGAACACAAAAAAGTAAAAGAAAAGAAAAACTGTTCAAACTGAGAATTGTAACTGCCTTCTTTGAAATACGCAATACAGGAAAGTGTCCTGGAGGGCCAGTCCACCCTCGGATGGCCGAGAATATTAGTATGTCTATTTATATGTGCTTTTTAATAAATTGTTGCATGTGCTCTGCTACTCTTCACTTTAGATATGGTGCCCAAAACACAAACTTCTACCCTCAATTTTCAAAAGATAAAATTATTATAAAAAAAAAGGCAGGATATGAGAGTAAATGTATTAACTAACAGTATCCCCCTTAAACAAATTTTAAAGTTAGTGCTATTCAAGCAGTTATAAATGACTCATAAAACAAAATCTAAAAGTAATGTAAATTATATTTTCACAAATACTCATAACCGAGTACAAAGGAAAACAAGCATTTAATATATGTGATTTGAAATTATTTTGACATCAATAGAACAACAACAAAGATTATAACACACTTTTATTACAGTCATTATCATCAGCAAATCATAAATTGCATCAGATTTTTCTTAGAGCTGTTTAGAAGATCCTTTTGTATCAGGAAAAATTAATCAGTGTTTTACATGTTCAATAAATATTCAATTTATTCTTATTAATCTTAATTAAATGGTCTGAAATAATTTGACAAAAGTTAATTCCGGGAAAACTACATACCTATTTAATATTACAAATGTACTTCACTTAAATAAGATTAATTTAATAACTAATGTGTGCTATGGAAAATTGGACACAGTAAATATAGTAAAGCACAGTTTACATATTTTTCATTTATACATCTTTTATAATTATATGTGATTATATCTCTCTCCAAATTCATTACTAGTCACATTAATAGCAAAATATTTCTTTTACATGATGCATAACTTTGGGTATACGGCAGACATTTATGGGCAAGTTATCACCATTCAGTTCCAAATGAGATTCTTGGTTGGTATAAGACACAAAGTATCAAACAGACTTTTGATTTTCAGAAAAAGCAATAATTTCGCTTACTACCATGTCAATAAAATTTGATAAAATCACAATGATTCTCAAGTCTTTTTTACAAAATATTTTAATCCTTAATATGGTAGACGATGTATTCATTACCTGATAAATTTACCGAGATTGGTGGAAATTACAGTGATATTTACTAAATACCTAAGCAAAACAGGAAAAACATTTAACCAAATATAAAAATTAAGTCTGCAAAATTATTTTTGCCATTTGTTCCTCACCAGATTATTTTTCTAGAAGAAATTTAGGCTATTATAAGGTTTTAATTTAGCAATGCCGACTGTGCCACAATATCCTCACCCTTATGCAGACTCAGCTACCCCACAATACAAACCACAGCATAATAATAATACTTATCAGATAATGATTTTAAAAAAAAACTGCAGTTAAGATGAACTCATATCACAGATATTCGAAATTCGAGTACATATACACGCAATCCACACTGACATTTCACTGCATATGTAATTTTTTAATTAAAACACATTTTATGTTACATTATCAATTGAAATTATGTATGATGCAACTTAGTGCTTCCTCCCTGTTTCTCTGAGATTCACCTAAAAATCAAAGGCCTCACTTTCATACATCTGAGATCAATAGATTAGCATCAATTCATCAGTTGGATTATCATCAATGGGGTGAATTCACTGGTACATTTCATGCTTGAAATGATGCTTCTTGGGCAATTAATTCATCAATTAAACTTCAGTATTTATGCATATCATATAAATATTGCATTGCTTATAATATTCAGTATAATCAAGAGTTTAATGTAATCACGGTAGGTCTTGGAAAGAATTACATGTACAGAGACACTACTGTATCATATTACAAAGTTTCATCTCCAAGTTTCTTATACCAGATAAAAGTAACAAAAATTTTTGGTGCTTCAATGTTACAGCCACTTTAGCAACAAACAGGAAAGCTGGATTTCTACCTTAATTCAAGTGAACTTAATTTAAATTTCACTTGTATACTTTGCTTATCATCCTTCAAATGGTACACATTTCTTGTTTTTCTTTGTTAGATACTTAATATAGCTACTATTTTCAATATTGCATTAACAAAGAAAAGAATGTGTTACAGGCATTACATTGCCATGATAATATGTTCAACAAATTACAAGCAACTGTTGTAGTGTGGCTACCAGAAGTAATTGTCACAAATTAATTTTTGGGTATGTTTACATATATTGTTTATTTTAAATAAACTGCAAAAAAAAATTGTGTTAAATAAAATAATATATAAAAATTTACATTAAACTGCTTGTGTGTATATATTAAATTGCACACAGTAGAAACTGAATGAATTGTTTGTACATATTGGATACAGACTGATTCTTGCCAAGACTGAAATGCACCTATTCAGATTTCTTGCCAAGGCCACTGTAACAGGAAGTACCAAATTTTCTTCCTCCAAAAAAAAAAAAAAAAAAAAAAAAAAAAGAGAGAGAGAGAGAGAGAAAGTAAAGCACTAAACAATAAAAAGATGGAAGAAGGCCAAGCATCAAGAAAAATGACTTAAATTGAGAGACAGTGGGGAGGAAAAAAGACCTAGTTCTCGGTTCTGACTCATAAGTAAATATAAAATTTAACTTCACAGAATAAACAGGATAACTCCAAAGGTGAGTTACTCTGCAATACTGGCAAAGACACAGCTATCTTTTCTGCTCCCTCTTCCCTATTTTTCTTGGCAAAGTGATCAGAATTCATTCACAAAGTAAAAACAGGTGGCTAGAATTTGTAACTTTTATGTTTACAATGCTAAACTACAACTCAGAGGCTCTAATTCAGGTTTCAGAGGTGACTGCAACCCAATTCAACTTTTGAGAATTGCTGCATTTATATTTTTCTTCGTTAGCAACTGAAAGATTAGCATAATTAAAAAATATTTTGATGCAGATAATAATGTTTTCCTTAATCTTTTATCCCTTTGACTATTAATGGGACATATATGTCCCACTAAAAATTTAAAAATTACTGCTGGGTTAAAAAGTACTTAGAATCACCTGAGTGTTGGGGATCATCGTCCAATAGCTGGAAAATCAAGATACCACTGTGCTCGTTGTACACAAACAAATAGAAAAGAACAAATATGAGTTGCCCAATGTGTAATGCTGTGTTATGCAAAGAATGCTTTAGTACCATACGATGTAAAATCAGTTTCATATAATAAAGTTTTCCAGAATAATATGTATACTTATAATAAGTCGATCGTTACGTGTGGGACATATGTAGGGACTTGTATCTTACCATTAACTAGGCTGAGACATATGTCTGCCAGACTTTGCGTTGGAAATCGTTTATCAAAAAAATCCTAAATGCTAAATTTACCTTATTTATGACACATTTTGTTCATTTTTGATAGAAAACAGGGTAAAAAATATTTTTTTAAAGATTCGTAGTCAAAGCATTAAGCATTAGATTAGAACCTGAATTATGCATATTAATGGTATCAGAGATGAGGAAATATTAAGGTGAAGAATTTTGTCAAGTCTCCAGCTATTCAATAAATTACTCATAATACCTTTACTAACAGGATCTTACAAGAAAATTTCCAATTAAAAAAAAAATTCACACTGTATTTTTTGTTTAATCAGAAAAAATATTTCAATCTGAGGCCATGGAATTGCACAATTTGTTAGATTACCACTCACATAATTAAATTCACTAAATTTCCGCAATGGGTCCATAGAAGCATGTTAAAATAAATTTAATCAGTTTTATGAATAAACAGTATTCCTGTTTTCCACCTTTTCTCAGACTAAATACTTAAGCTCAAATGTTTACAATATCAGTTTTTCTGAATCTGTATAAGTTACTACAAACATCTAATATCTATACAGTTTAAAAGTTTTAAATTTAAGTAATCTTTGAATAGTATATTTGTTCTATAACAAACTGAATTTTGATTATATTGGAACTGATCTAATATTCTAACCTAAGATCAACCTTAGATTTCTGTCACTTTCTGAAAGTACAACATTCCTGTGAAACTTTTGTTAGTGAAATCACACAAAGTAAAGAAACAATTACTATTAATTTATGTTAGAAACAACTCCAGGCCTACCAAATAATTTTAAATAGCACATAGAATCTAACACAATATTAGAATGAAACACTAATATATAGTAAATGCTTGACTAGAAAATCTACTTTTCACTCAACCTACTAAATTTCAGAAACAATGCAGTTTGGAACAGCACATTTGGAAAACATTACCGATTTCAAATGTTTAATCTTAAATGTTTGATAAATATATTCAAAAACTGTCAATGTTTCAACTCAGAATTTCACACCAATTACATCACCTACGATTTCTGCACAATTCACAAGATGACTTAAAATTGCCTTAAACCTGTTTTTTAACAGATGGAATTGCAAACAATCAGCATCAAATTAATCCGAAAATGATCTGTTCCTATTAGGTATCAAGAAATTAACACAATTAATAAACTTTTAATTTCAATTTAAGAAAGAAAAATCTATAGCTTCTTATTTCATAAACAATTTTTTCAAATATATTTATTTTTTATATTACAATTTGAAAAATCACAGAACTATGTTCTTTGCAGGAGAAACATTTTCACTAATATTTCACTAATAGTGCCAGCTGTGAGAAAGAAATCTGCATAGGAAATAATTGTAATGTCTGGCAATTAAAAAGAAAAACAGGTAAAGTACTGATATTGCTCGTGTGCATAAAATAGTGAATAAGCTGCTAGAAGATGCCTTTGAAAACCAGTGCCATTATAAAAAAGAACTATCCTCTGACAAAAATATTAAAACTAGTTATTATCAATGACACTGTTTGGGTCTCACAGTTAATTTATTTCATCAGCTGCTTTCCTCCGCTCTTTATTTATGAATGTGTAAATATGTATATACATACTATTTACTTATATATGCATTCACAAATAAAGAGCTACAGCTACTACCCTTTGTAAACATAAGATAATTTACAAGATAAACAATGTTTATGGAAACATAATAATTTCAGCTTCAGTATCTAAAAAAAGTTATTATATAGTTAACAAAAGAATTCAGCTATAGAAGTGGAGACAGAGGTTCATTATTCTCTAATGCATTTTTTAATCTTTGATGAAATGCATTTTTTAATCTTTGATGACCGACAGGTAAGACAATATTACTAATTCTCTGACTTAAATCATTCTTGAAGTTCTTTTGTTCATTCCTAATACAAAATTAAATTTCTCAAAAAATTTACAGAAGATTCCTGGGGAAACATTATATAATTAAGACACCCTAGTACTAATAAATAAAAAGAACTCACTTCATAAAAGACAAGTAATCTGCTAATTCTGGTACATTTGTAATATTGGCTTTTCCTTTGCTAATCAAAGTGCCTTCAAGTGTAACCTGTAGATCTGTCAAGGCAGTTTCAACGTCTTCATCTTCATGATAAATATCAGGCTGAGGATGATTGGCTTGAAGATTCACTTGTACCTAATAATATATAAAGAATATGAAATAAATAAAAAATATCTTGCATTAAATTTTAATTCTCTCTCAAATTATTATAAAGTAATTAAACAGTAGAAGTATATAATTTTGCAATTTAATCTGTTTACTGCCATGAATAAGCATACTGATCAGTACTTTTGCATGGTCTCGGTTCCAATTCATTGTTCTAAAAGAACAATGAAATTCTTCTGGGTCTGCACAGAATGGGCATTTTCCATTTTTATTTCTATTTATTTTTTTTACAATGAAATTACTACAAAAATCTTAAATATATCTTTTTAGACCTTGCTACTACAAGGTTTAAAAAGACATATTTATAGTTATTACATTTGCACCTAGTCATATGCACAGATATGCCTAAAAATGAATACAGTAAATGAATACAAATTTAAGCACATTGTAGTTTCTAAGTTTATTTAACCCTCTGAGCCGCACGATCGGCTTTATCCGGTCACAAAATTTTTTGTTATTTGATGCATATTAGCTTATAACTTAAGATATTTTGCTTTCTTACTTTCTTTAATAATGTAAATGTAATCTTAATGAATGTAAGTTTATGAAAATAGAAGCTAAAATAAGTAACTAAATAAATTTAGCTAATAAATACTACATAAATACAAATCTTTGTGACAAATACAAAAACCCCTGCCACTCAGAGGGTTAAAATATAACTTTTCTTTAAAGCTGCATGGCCGCTTCCTCTACAGAATAGCAACATCATATTATTTCAATTGCAAAAATACACTATAACATAATATCCTATGTAAAATGAAAACAAATTCATTGTTATAAGTTTTAATTTAAAATGGGCAACAAAAAATGATTTGAGCACACTGCTACGTATGATTAATAAGAATAACACTTAGTGAAAACAAACAAAAATAATATAAGTAAAAACAAACAAAAATTTGCAAAAGCTAGCCCACAGTGAAAAATATTTACCAATTAAATAAATTAATGAAATTTAACTCTCTAATGCAAACAGTGATTCATGCAAATGAGGATTTATTCATATTATTCATAAAAACTAAATAAACTAACAGTGATAGGTATATTGTTATTGACATAACTGTTGTTAATATTAATTAAATATAACAGTATAGTGTTCACCTGTAAGGCAGCAAAAAGCATCATTTCTTCTTCTGTACAATCAATTTCTTCAGCTAAGATAGACCATTTAGCTTGTTCGTAAATTTGATTAATACGCACTGCATCATACTAAAAAGAGAATAAAGAAAACTTCGAGACATTAGGCTTTACATACAAAATCATTACAGATATATTAATAAATTTTTTTAACAAACAACTACATAATACAAGATATGCTTCACATGGTGTTAACACATTTTAGGTCTTGTGGTTTGACATTTATTATGCCCAGTATTTCATAATATACATGAAAATAAAATATATAAGCAGCAATAAATATGGTCTATATGTGTGACTGACATTTTGGCGAACTTGATGTTAAGGTACGCTTAGGATTTCGTTTCATCAATTAAATATAAATAATTAATTTTAAAATTCTGATACAATTTTCTTTCTGTGAATGTAATGCAATATTTATATTTATGAAATACATTAAGCCAACAGGGAAAAAATAACAGAAAATAAGTAAATTTATATAAGTACACTTTCATGATACAAAATACCAAAAATTTTCATGATGATATATTATTCCAGCAAAATTTAAATTAAGACCGCTGCATTTATTTCTGTGTTTGTTTTCTTGGTGACGCAAATATACGATCAATAAAGTAAAATTTTTAAATATAACTCTATTGTTACTATCAGATTACAGATCAAAGGAGCAGACAGCCAAGGTTTTGAAAAAATTCTAGAAAAAAAAGTGTTTTTTAAACTTTGTATCAAAATGCATTTTATGTAATAATAAACCTATTCTGAAATTTTCAGATTCGCATAGATTTGTTTAAAATAGTAAATTAATACATACAACTTGCAGAAATCAGTAAGTTTTTCTGGAGCACAAAATATGAAAAAACATCTATGGCTTTAGTGGGCCATTACTGATCCAATTACATCATAAAAGTACACACAGGGAAAGGTTAAAATTCCTTAAACTAATCAAACCTTTTTCAAAACTATAATAATATGATTTTTTTTCATTCTGTGAAGAAGTTAATACACAGTTCGTACACATTTCTGAACACAGAAATTAAGTACTTTTAAAGACCATTAATGAAAAAAATTAAGGACCTATGAGCAAATGGGAACTGAATAATTTTAGTTAAAAATATTATCTATGCCTAAATTTCACTTTTATAATACCATCCTAAAAATAAAATAGATCCGTAAGTAGGCAGCATTATTATTAAACATAATTAATTAATATAATTATTAATAAGTTTGAGAATAAATCAATTTATGAAATTTATCAAATAGCATTAAATATTTTACACTTGTAATAGTTGGGCATGTTTGAAAGAAGATAAGAGACATTTTATTTTTGTTTTACTAACAGTTAACTTTATGTTGATTTTTTCTATGTCTCATTTTGTCACATAGGTTAAAATGAGAAGTAAAATCAAAATCAGCATGATTCATAACAAAAGACTGGCTGCTGTCATCACTGCTGCTTGCCTAGAGAGAGATCTGCTGATCAGAACAAACCTGAAAGATCTGATGTAGATACGGTTGGGAAGTTTTGAAAGTGCGTTAAGCTCTGTCTGATGCAGTTAGTGTTGTAGCTTTATGTGAAATTCCAGGGCTTGTAATCCAGTTAACATACTTTATAGTTCGAATAAAGTATCGGAGGTGATGAAATATTTTGCATTATTTTAAGTCTCACTAAATATAAAGAATAAGTTTTGCATGAATTCTTACAATTTTGTGTTTTATCTTGCAACCATGGTAAAGATTAATGAAAGGCAATAACTCGCTTTAATATGCACAGATAATTTTTAAGGGTAAGTAGTTAGTCATAAGTAATTAAATTAGGGAGTTATGGATTTAAATGGCCTTACTACCTTAGTCATTATGGATTTACATGGCCACTATTAAATTTTACTTATATTTTAATTCTTTAACAATATTTGTTAAAAAAGCACTATTAAAATCGTAATCTAATAAAATTTCACAGTTTAAAATACATATAACTTATGACATTGATTTCTAAACAATATTAGTACAGTTACACATTAAAAGCTACAAAAAATTTATGTTTTGTACCACAACACTTAACAAAATATTTACGCTTCTTTTTTCCCACACATTTTGGCTTATTTATATCTATTTCCTTTTCTTTGAGCACTTTTTCTAACAATTAGAAATTGGTCTCAATATGCAAACCAATGTTCTCACTAGTTTCTGCATGCTTTATCTCCTAACTTGTCAACCTCTCCACAATGTACTTATGGGGGTTTACTTGAGTTGGTTAAAGAATCCCAAACTCCCCGAGAGACGCGAAGCAAATTATCGCCTGCCTGAAAGTAACTACAAAGTCAGACAAAGGTTTAAATAAGCCTCTTATTTAAAAAGAACTTAGAGCATAAAGGAATGTTCCAATGCTAACAACATCAATTACATTTCGTGGTGATGTAATTAAACAAGAACAGTCAAATTCAAACTAAAAATGTGGACTAGTGGTCAAAAACTATACAATTTAATTTTCATTTAAGCTGGCTCAGTAACTCTGTCGTCATAACAAATTGTAATGTTCGAATCAATAATGGAAAGGCAAATAAATACAAATTATCAGAGCTGGCAGGAACTAATGCAGTGAGCAAGCAGAGGTCAGAAATACACTCTGTCTTACACTCCAAAAACCTCAGTTTAAAAACTGTCTAAGTGATTTGCATTCTGGTGAGGAAACAGAAATGGGAAATAATAGTAATTATAAACAACTGAGTAATTTACATAATAATAACTGTCCATATCTTTGAAGAATAATTTTCCTTATCTTCATATATTCAGTTTCTTTCTTCAACATGTTTTCTTTTCATTTTAGAATTTTTGGATTTAATTAAAGATTTCTGGTTTTCTAAAAAAACTAAAAGCATTTAGAATGCATAGAAAAAGCTGCTAATTTTATTTCTTTAGTCATATGAACATTCGGAAGAAATATATATGTTAAGGGCCGATTACAGAGCTTGTGTGGCAGATATTTTTTTTTTTTTTAATTTAGAGACAAACTGAGCAACAAAATCTAGAAATGGGAAAACTCTTAGGATTTAGAGCAGGCATTGGAAACAGAATTTAGAAAGGCACTAAACAGCATAATTTAGAATCCACAGACACTGCATCAGTTGAGAAAATGCCTAGCTCCAGCCCTGTGAATGATGCATTAAGACATATTAGATGAATCTTTTAAATTGTCAGTTTTCAATTATTTATCAAGAAAAAAATTCCTTTCTATAATGCCTGTCCATGTATATTAAGTTTAGAAGCATACTTGACATTTTAAATGCTTGTGTATAATAAAAAGTAGAGAAAACAAAGGGAAGATAAACACGTTAAGAAAAAGATTCTAATATCAAAAGTAAAACATTCAAATATTATATTCTCATTATCCTTCCAGACGTTCTCCCAAAAGTAAGAAATTAATCACAAACTTTCTGTAAAATACATTAATTATGTGTTAATATCATGGAGAAATTTTTTATTTTGTCACATTTTTCAGGAGTCTTCTAGAATTGTGGGTCTATAAATCTTGCCTTCAAATCTTTCTAAACTTCCCAAGCTGCAATGCCTAAAATCCTAAAGAAAAATTACCTCTACCAGTTTTGTAACAGGAAAAAGACAAATATTTTAGGGAAAAAAACAGAGGAGTATGAAATTAATTTTATAGAGAAAAATGATGCATATTCTCAGAATTCTGAATATTCTGAGACAATTACATGGGAAAAACTCTTACTATGAACAAATTAAAAGAAGACATTTTTAATTAATAACATAGCTATTTTCCATTTGCTAAGAACTGTTTTGTAAATTCTGCATAGCATTATACCTTTTTAATTTTTAGATTCAAAATATTATAAGTGGCCAAAATGGAACTTCATAAAATATGACAGTAAAAAATAAAAATGTTTTATTTTAATCTTATTTTTTACATATAATTTCAAAATATTACCATTATTTTAATGAAATTTATCAATGTTACAATGTTTTAAAAAAAAATCGTCGAAAAATTCCCAGATCTCGGAATAAAAAAAATTCCATAGAAACTGATCTTAAAATAGCCAAAATGTTCATAAGTCATTAAATTTAGAACTGTTTAATAAAAGAATTCACATCCCTAAAAGCGAAAAGTTGTTTAAGAGCTCTTCATTAGAAAAAATGAAATGATTTCGAAATCCTTATTTTTACTTTTGGCTCAGAAACTTGAGTATCCCACCATTTATATCAGAAATAGGAACAAACCCATGAACCCATTCAAAAGATACCCATATTTGTCAGTGAATCACCAAAATATTCCTCCAAAATTCACACTCAAAATGGCAATCGTAAAAACAGACAGAAATTTCAGATGATTAAAATTAAGGACCTTCTGCTGATTTTGCCCTATATTAAGGACTTTTAAGGACCAAAAATTGATTCAAAAAAATCTAAGGACTTTTAAGAACCATATGAAGCCTGTAATAGACTATTAACAGATACCGGAAATATTCCAAACGAAGATCTCTGAATAATTTACAGTAGTTATGAGATGTGTTATTAAGAATTTTTTTTTTTAATTTCATATTTTGTATAAATTTTATGTGCATTTCTTTGTGCATTTTAAAACATTACTATTAATTTTTCCCAACGTTTTCAACTTCATGTATAAAATTCTTTTTTAAATTACTATTGCATATTCCCCCCCTCTTCTATGATTTAAATGAACAGAAGAATTTATGCAGAACATTATCTTTTTTACAAAATGTATTCAAAAGGACCACACCTCGCTACCAGAAATAATGTCTATAAAAATCAACCATTTTTTTTTCTGGAGGCGAGGGAGGACGCAAACAAGGCTCACTACCAATTACCCAAAATGCTTCGAACCATTATTTCAAAAATAGGGATTTTCAGTTATTAGGGAAAGGCCAGACTTAGTGCACCACAATACATGAATGAAGGAAGGAAAGGGAGAGGACATCTTTCACACTTAAAGCTCAAAAGTAGAGCATAGCCTTGGCAATCATCCAGCACTTAAAAATAGATATTCACTCAGACAGCAGGTGGGTTCCTTTACTTGTGTGGCAACTTCCTCTCTCCTATTGACGATAGGGTCAATTTTGTACAGTACCATTTAACATATAAGGTAATAATTAAATTTCCCACCATAATGATAATAGCTTTCTTTTAACTGAAATCAAATAGAAAAATTCCAAAAACTACCATTTTCTCAAGGGATATATTTTTTCATTTATATTAAATCTGCGTTATATTTTTTCCCCTTTCTTTCAACTCAAGAGCAATAATAAATTATAAAAAGAACTTTTTCCCCCTTAATTGCTATTTTTTATTTTCAAATTTATGAAATTCTAAATTTATTTTTAGATTCAAAACAGTTTTTAAAAATATTTAAAACTGACAAATTTGGAAATTGATAACACTACTTTGTCACAATCAACACTTTTCTAATATTATAAATTTCAGTTACTTAAGGCCTTAACGTATGTTGTTTCAGAATTAAACCTAGTCGGAATATTTTTTATTTTTTAACCAAATTCAAAATTCTTTTATTTCATAACTGCAATAATTTAAATTTTTATAAAAATGTTAATAATTTAGTCTATAAATTATGATAAAGCATCTGAAGGTAAAGCCTAAAAGTAGGTATGACTTCATATATGATTTTCTTGGAGAAACTGGCTCATATTCATGTTGCACAAAGGGAAAACAATAAAATGTCATACAGCTAACCCAGTTTCTAGGGGTTAAAATATGAAGTCAAACTTCCCAGGTTCAGCATATATTACCCACTTAGCTACAGGTGAACTTAATTAATATATAAATTCAAAATAATTTTTAACACAGAGTACCAGCAATAAAGACAAAAACTGTGTTTCTTAATCAGTCTCGTGCCCAAAATGTATATAATCATATTTTATTGCAATTCATATCCACACATCTGCTTTGAAAAAAACTGATGTGGACATCATGATTTCTTTTATGATATATTAAACTGCACACATTCTTTTGGTGTACTTTATTTAAACTTATTTTCTTGAATTATTTTAACTTAATTAACTAATCCCTGAAGACAAGTTGAAAATGAAATCAAAAATTCAAAATTTTGAAATTAAATAGCCCCATATCCTTTTGTCATATGGGATTCAAACTTTTAAGAATTTTAATTTTTCATAACAAGTATAAAACTTTCCTAAATATAACTAAAGGAATCAACAGGCTGCATTAAAAATTATATTTCACTATTTGTCAAAAATGATTTTTTTTTTCTTTTTTCTTTTTTAAATTTGACAGTGCTGAAACATGAATATTTTCATCATTCAAAACACTTCTGTGATTGGAAGTATACAACCACGACTGCAATAAAAAAGGGTGTGCACAACTAGATGTTACAACAATCCCATACACAAAACTTCAACATTCTGTAGCTAATCAATTTTTTGTTATGCGAGATATATACGTACTTACAGATGTTACAAAAACATCCCTTTTGAATCCATTTTACAGTCCATTTTGGATAAAAAGTATTCTTTATTCTGTCCACACATACAGACATAAAGCAAAAAGAATCATCCAAATGGATATTTCCACTGAAGTAAAATACCGCCCCCCCCCAATTACAATAATTCATTTACTTCATACAAAGAAGAAAAAATGATGGAAGAAAAGCTTCTTGCAAGAAAATAGTGTAATATTAAAGCAACAGTAAGAGATATTCACAACTAACTAATTAATGATTATAAATCAATGTATTAGTGCAGGTAGATACATATAATTAGTTACACAATAAGAAAAAGATTACGTCGAAACTTTTTGGAACATACTAAAAATTATCTTCTTTGAGAACCACTGGTTTGAAGCGATGAAAAAGACAAATTTCAAATTATTGCTTTTTCAGTTTAACAGCATTTAAATTATTAGACATTTGAAGAAAATAATTATCACTTGTTTTAATTCACAAATCAATATGAAATTTACAGAATAGTTTTATTGATACATAAAAAGAAATTAAACACAAAGTTTAAAAAAGAAACTTAGTCGCTTTCTCCTCAGTCTATAAAACCGAAATTGTTAATATTAAAAATTAGTAAAGTTTTAAAGCCAGTTTAATATGTTGCATATTTCTCTTCCAATCTTGTATTTATCACCACAAAAATATAACACCAAAGTGCTAAAAACTTGCTTTCCTTTGACATGAATAACATGCACAGTAGTATATTTGTATATTATTTGTGCCAAAACAACATCAAGTAATGTGTTGCACATTTCCAAATATAAGTCGATCTGTAACAATGAGGGCCAAAAAGTTGCCAAGCAGGTAAAATGGGTGTAATATCTTCCAATCAAATTGCTGTATGGTAAAACACTTTTTTTAAAATGGCAGGCACTAGCCATTTTAGACTTTGGCCACTACTAAGGCCAAAAGCAGTGGTCATTTTATTATGCAGGTGCCTAATAGGCAGCCAACATTACCTCCTATGAAGGGACAGACAATTTACATCCATGCTTTCTCCTGGATATCGAACTCAGCCCTTTCTCCATGGTAGTCAGAATCACCAACCACTTTCCCATCTGGGCAGCGCAAAGTAAAACATCAGACGCCAAAGACAAATAGTTTTAACTCTAGTAACCATATCCAAAGTTAGCACATTTATTCCACTCATTTGTCGTTTTGTATATGACTTACGGTTTCGGTGCCATTTTATTTTTTGTCTAAGCAATGACCAGGAAGAGAAATTCTTAAGAAGAAAATTTCAAATCACAGATGATCACATTTGTTGAAAATTCCAAAAACAGGATGGCTGCTCATCATTTCCCCATAAATGAAAAACTAATTTGAGAGTGAAGAACACCAGATTTTGTGTTATGGAGACAACTCAATATATCAACATAATGTAAAATTTTGAAAATAAAACAGTTAATTATCATAAACTCAATCCATTTAAAATTAGTTTTTTCTTAGCAAACTTAAGGAATATAAACTAAACAAATAAACAAGTGCAATATTTAACAATTTATCGCTTGTGCCCAGCTAACAGAAAAGTACCTATGCTTTTTGCAATATTAGCAAATCAATATCTTTTACTCGATTTTGAATTTTCAGTATCTTACATACCTTACACAAGGATCTGCCAATCCCCATAATTTAGTTTCAACATGTTCCAAAAATTCTCAGCTTATACACAGAAATATACGCTATTTATATATTTTTAAAAACTTGCTCATATAGTATTTAAAATTGTCATCAGGTAATATTCAAAATACTCACTAAAACTAGAAGTACAACATTATTTTTTTTTTTTTTTTTTTTTTTTTTAGTTTCTCAGTATAAGTTTCAGTAAAAGTTTCAGTTTTAAAACTTGCTTTTTGGTAGTTTATAAAGTTTATTTTTATTCAAAAAAATAATCACTGATGCATCATGAAAATATAATATGGCATCACTTTAACATTAAAAAAAATTTTTTTTAGGGATCCCACAATAACCAATGCAGCTTATGGGAAGTTTAACTCATACATTCATACTTGGTTCATATGGTGTCTTCAGCAATCTTCAATTAAATAGATCTCCAAAAATTTAGAGAGTTTACTAATTCAGTTACTACATGAATTATATTTACTAATTTGAGACTTCAAAAAAAAAAAAAAAAAAAAAAAGAGAGAAGAAAGGGGGGGAAACGAATTCACATACATGAAATAACTGTTTCAACAAAATTTAAATTTACTTACTAAATGGCCTGTATAAAAATTTCAGTTCTGTTTAGTTTGCTAAAAGTTGTCACAAAACCAAAACTGTCTAAAAGTTTATTTTATTATATTAATTTTAACTCATGAAACTATGGTCTTATGATTAATAAAATGATGATGAATAAGGGAAAATGAACAAGGGCTATTTTCATGCAAAAATATAACTTCACAGAGGACTTTCCAATGGAAATATGCTCATATTAATACTCTACATTAGAAAAACTCGTGATGAAAACTATGTAAACAGCCTATTTACCAGTTGAAACTAGATAAACCTAGTTTAAAGTTTGTTTCAATGTTTTTCAATTTAATTCACTTGACAACCAGTAGGACATGTCAGTATGATTAGTTGCAAATGAGATACTTAACAGCGTACTCCTTTTTAATCACCCAACATTTACTCACATAAAAATTACATTTTGTTCTAAGATGTATAATAAATAGTAAATTTTATGCTTAAACTGATAGTATACAGAATATCTATTTATAATAAAGACCTTATGTATTATTAATAATAAATTTATTATATTAATATATAAAAAATACATACCTTTGGATTCAAGTCATAGAAAGAGTAAAACTTGAATCTGAGCAGCAGAGTATCAAATTCCCTTATATCTTGCTCCATAATGGATAATGAGGAATCCAGCCAACTAAATAAAATACAAAATTACTTCTTTAGCTTTAGCCAAAAACATTTTCCAATTACTAACATACTGAAGAAATTAAAATACTATTAAAAAATGCATGTGTTGCTTACAACAGAAAATGTACCCTATTTTAGAAAGAACTACAACTACGACAAGCTATACCCAATGATCAGTAAAAAGTATATTTTTGTTAAATGAAATAAAACACCCCTACACCCTTGATAATTCACAAAATTTTCAGATTCAAATGCAACTTGAATGCACTGTTCATCCATATATGGATTTGATTTTACTGTAAATATTTTGTACCAGATTTACCATTTTTAATACATAAGGCCAACAATTTTAATATTCCACAAGCTTTTTCCTATTCCCCATTCAAGATTTACAATCACCGTTCCAAGTAATTATTATATTAAAAAATGCTAGTAAAAAATGAATACTCAGCATCAGAGGATCACTAATAATTACACTCATTATCAGAGTTACGGTACATATAAATTGGAATCAAGAGAAGCACAACATTTCAAATCGCTCTAAATTGTCTTTGAATTGAAAGAGAAGCATTACAAAAGTTTAAAATAATACTTAATATAACTGTCTCATAAGATAAGAGCTTTATCCTAAAAGTTTGAGTGAAGTAAGCACATTATTCATAAACACATCAGTGTTCACCATTTAATTAGGAAACATGAAAATAATATATATAAGATCAGAAAAACAGGTGGCTGACTGAGACACATGGACAAGTTGCCTTGGGAAAGATAACCTTATGGAGGACATTCACATTATACATAACTAGTACATTTTTGTTAAAGCCATACCAAGCATTTTCAATACAATACTGACACATTTTGCTTTACTCCTCCTCCAAGCCTTTGGCTCAATATCAAAATCTAGTGTGGAGGAAGAAAAAAGGTCTACATTACACTTCTGAATAAACTTTCATCAAGTTTCATAATTTTGTAGCTTTTTTTTTAAATTTTAAATTATGATAAAAATGGATTGGTATATATCTCTCACATGGGCTGCCCAGTTGGTATAGTGGTTAGGGGAGCCTGACTGCGATACCAAAGAGCCCGGGTTCGAATCCCGGAGAAGGCATGGATGTAAAACTGTCTGTCCCTTCATAGGAGGTAACGGTGGCCGCCTATTAGGTGCCTCCATAATAAAATGGTCACCGCTTCTGGCCTTAGGAGTGGCCGATGCCGTTATAGGCAAGTGCCCGCCATTTGTTTTAAAAAAAAAAAAAAAAAACTCTCACATGAAATTTTTTAAATCTGGCTCTACTGTGCCGGAATTTATTTGAAGTAAGCTTTTAGTTCACAAAACTCAACAGATATCCTGACATCACATAAGTAAATGAATCCGCCATAATCAAAGGAATACATGATCCAACAAAAACCATGTTTTAGATATATTTTTATTTTCACTAGGAATGAAGGCTGCATAGCTATTTTGGCTTCAAGTTATATTTAATTTCATGAGGTAGGTATTTGAACACAATCTTTCTTTATGAACAATATTTCTTTTGTGAAAAGCCAAGACAACCACTTGATCATCTCTTGACAAATCGCTAGTCATAAAATCTATTGTAGTTAAAAGGAGGGACTAATTAGATGAAAAATGTGATTCTGCAAGCAATGGTTATGAAGACTATTATTGCCAAGAAGGAGCCCAAACTAAACTGGTGACAAGGGATTACTACAAAGCAAGACAAATGAATGTTCAGCATTTAATTGGCCTTATTTATAGGATGTTGTTCACTAAATGCAAATATTTATATAGCAAGAGAATTTAATACAGACCACAACACACAAATAAAAATATCTAGAAAAAAAGATTTTCCTACCTTACACAGATATCAGTGAGTTAAGGTGCTAAATGATACTACAAACCCAAACACAGTTATAATTCCATAAACTTCTTGTTCTGAAGATCAATTAAATGGTAATAATTGTACTTATGTTATGTGTCAAAAATAAGATTTGAATCAGTTATTTTTTCTACTACTTATATATAACTGAAGCATAGATGTAAACTAAAAATATTTTTTAGCAAATACTCAAATTTGCAATATGGATAATAAACAGAGCAAAGAACGATACCAGTGAAGAGAATATTTGGGCATTTGCAAAAAGATATGTTGTTGCAGTGTATAAAACTCACTTATATTGGAAATCAAAGGGGGGGGGAATGCCAAACTAAATCCAGAATACTAAAGCTTGGTTTACATTTTAAGGACACAAATGCAAAATATAAAAGTACAGTGAACACCCTCATGGCAACTACTCCTTAACGTAATAAATATTTCTGAGAACATTAAAAAAAAAAAAAAAATTAGTATTAAACACTGTCTTCAAACTGTAATCTAATGAACCATGAAGTTTTTAATACTACATAGACTGCAAAACAGACTAAAATAATTAAACATTATTTCTCTTAGTTTTGTTGTTTTTATTAACTATGTTCTTATGAGTAAAATTATAATAAAATATTGATTTTCTGTTCATTTCCACATAAGATGTACACACCGCTAACATATTTTATATTCTTTTAGTTTTTTTTTTTTTTAATTGTAGAAGTACCCTGAAAATAAAAATTTTAATTTTAGGAATTCTTAAATAAAGTTTTAAGGATTTCCTAGTTTGATAAAATTTGAAGACAAATAGATATTGAATGTAACTCTCTGTGATGACTGCAGATGATGACCAAAATCAGGTGACACTTGAATGACCATTGTCAGACAATACACAACTCTGCTGTATTAAGTTTGTGTAAATTAGTTATGCAATATGACAAAAACATGATCATAACAAGGAATCTGATAATAAGAAAGAACTGAACTGATGTTCTGTTGCTAGAAAGCAAGTATGTTTAAGAGCTCATGAAAATGATAGACCTTGTCAACATTTTTCAAGGAGCCTATGGTAAATGTTAAATGCTGAGCAAGTAGCATATCAAGAAATACTTTAAATTTCATCAACATTTATATACAAATTGGTTCTAAGCTTACAAAAAGTGTGCTGGCGGGAAAAAATAGACATACATCGTATTCATCATGGTGAAGAGGATTCACTGTATTTCCAGAATAAGATTTTATAGCTCTTGGATAGAAACTGGGCCCAACAGTACTTATTTAAGCTCAAGTAACATACTAAATAACTTGCTTCCTCTTTTATCTAGTCGATGCTGTCTTTTGTCCACTGTAGTGTGCTGCTGTAGATTCATGTATGGCACTTTTTTTAAATCTTTACTTTTAATGTAATTTCCAATCACAGTTATTCCCCTCATTCTTGAGCTTGCAAGAACACCATGTACCTAATCCACCTTTGAGAGCCACATACGAAATTCTTGTTGAATTATACGTTAAGCATAATATTTTACAAACCGAAATTTCCAATCTACAGAAATCTTAGAAGTTGGCTCTTCTTTATAGCTACTCTCATTTGTCTGAATCTGTTATGACACTCTGCACCTCAGAAAGCTGTAGCTGTAACTAAATGCATGATATCAATAATACAACCCTAAGTGAACTTTCTGAATACACTGCTATGAAATAAGAATAATAGTAAGCTCATAAGAATGAAAAATTAAAAATACATATTTAAAAATTATATACATATTCAATAAAATTTCTCCCTTATTATATATGGCAGTAACACCATAATACATCATTTTATAAAAATATGCCATTGTTGTCTGTCCAGTGTTAGGAATGATGATCTAATACAAACCCAGCATTAAGACGAGCCCTTTCAGCCAAACTCTTGGGACGTAAAACTCCCTGTTTGGCTTCTTCTGATGGACTTTTCGGGCTGTGAGCAAGAGGAAGATCTGCAGAACAAGCACTGCCATCTGCAGAATAATTGAGAAAAGATGAAGAACCATTGAACATAGCAGTTGCAGGTGAATAACTTCTTCCATCAGTCCATGACTAAAAGAAAGATTTTTTTTAAAAAAATAAGTAGAGGAAAAAAATAAATTACTAGTAGTTTAGCTTATAAATATTGCAATGATATACCTTTTACATTTTAGAAAGTAATGCTAAATATATTAGCGGCTTAGATAGTTTATCTTGCATACTTTTTAATTCTAAAAAATGGCATCAATTTCATTAAAAATGTTGTCTCAAGATATAATTCTTTTGTTGGCTCATAAATGAATACATAGCAACTGCAAATACAAGGGATGTTTTTTAAATAAGGGCCGTTTGAAAATAAATAAAAAAAAAAAAAAAAATTGAAAACCTAATTTATTTTCAGAAATTTCTCTATTTTTCAACATAGTTGTCAAGTTTTTTTAAACACTTATCTTAGTTTTGAATATCTTCCTACTAGATTAGATAAATACTAGATTTTGAATATCTTCTTCATAGAAACTTGCTGCCTGCTCTGATAACCAACAGGTCACAGCCATTGTCATGTCTTCGTCATCACTGTAGTGGTTACCGCTGAGATGATGTCTGAGTTAGCAGAAAAGACCAAAATTGCTCGGTGAAAGGTCTGGGATGTAGGGGGATCAAAACTTCCCAGCCAAAAGAGCCCAATAAAGCTCAGGATCTGAGCTGTGGTGTAAGGCCTTGCATTGTCATGGAGTAGCAAAATTCTCTCCGTCAGCATGTGGCGCCTTTTGTTTTGAATTGCTCTACGTAGCTTTCGCAGATTTTGGCCATAGGCTATCTATCGCATTTATGGTGGTTTCACACTGTATGAAGTCGACCAACAAAACACCACGCCTATCCGAAAACACGGACGCCATGGAACAAAGTCTGCTTAGCCTTGACCCTTAGAGCAGAATCTCCACTCCATGCCCTGTTGCTTCCATTCGTGTGTGACCCATGAAACCCACGTTTCATCTTTTGTTACAATCCGCCTCAACATGACGTCACCTTCTTCATTATAAGGAGTCAAAAAATTCAGCGGACACTCAAAACTTTTGTCTTTTTGGTCATCCGTTAGTAGTTTGGTGACCCAACAGAAGTGCAGTTTCTTAAACCTTAACTTTTCAGAAACGTTCTTACACAGCACTGAACTAGAAACTTCAGGAAATTCGTTCGAAAGAGTGCTTATATAGAGTGTCTGTTCTCAAGAATTTCCGCTTCAACAGAAGCCACCATATTGTCTGTGATCACAGATGAGTGACTGGTGCGGGACTCATCTACTGACCCACTTTGCCTTCACTCATGTGAGAAGCTCCGCAAACTTCACAAATCTGCCAGTGAATGTCTCCAGCAGACAGGTTTCTTGCCAACATATGCTGGTATTGGCATGTGGTGAAGGTTAGAAACTAGTTGTAAATGTATGCGGTTTGGAATTGAAACTAAGTCTCATTTCGTGCAAAGATCATACACAAATAACATTCTGACATATATAGTTTGCAATAATATCATTGTAACTACCTTGTAATAAATTCATTTGTAAATATATATATATATATATATATATATTTGTTTGTGATAGTTTCATACCAAAATAATGCATATTGTTACTTTATATACTTTTAAATGCCATGGGCCAGCAGATTATGCGACATTGCAGAGGTAATTTTACCTTTACTGCTGATCAAGCGCAGGCACATAGTTAAAAACTTCTATGCTTAAAGGCTTAGTAATCAATGTGATGCACATAACAATCTCTTATTACCTCTTTTTAGATCACACTTCTTGCAATAAGTAAGTCGGCATGTGAGTAAAATCTATTTCTATGAAACAGCATTAACTAACAATACAATCTTACGACAGCAAAGTGTTAAATAACTTTCTTCTTTCTACCTAATTTGAATATCACGTGTGCTAGAAATTAACATTCTGGCAGGGAAATTTAAACAAGGCTTGATAAAAAATTCAATTAACATAAATAACTAGATAGAAAATTAAATGATATTCTGTAACACCATAATATGCAGCAATGAAATAGCTTCAGTACTGCATTTTATACAAATTTTTCAGCCATAAACATGTTAAGTTCAAACCAATTTATAATTGCTTTGACAATAAACATTATTTTACCTTTTCACCCTCTAGTGAGTTATATGCGATATTATAGTATAAGCAATATTTTGTCAACACTCACAAAAGTTAAAATGACAATACTTTTTTTTTTTTTTTTTTTTTTTAGAGAGAGAATGTACTGTAAATGTGAAACACAACATACAGTAAATTTTATTCATTTAGTTTGATAGCAGTAAAGCCTTACTAAGCATAATTTATCAATTACACTTTGATTATGTATGATGCATAACTATCTCAATGGATAAGCAGAACTAGTTTTCAATCTTAAGCAGAGCTGTGGAGTCAGAGTCATGGAGTCGGAATCGTGCAGATTTCGGAGTAAAAGGAGTTGGAGCTGGAGTCGCTAAAAATACAGGTCGACTTCAACTCCAGTTTTTGTTAGACAGTTTGAATTTGAAATAAAATTAAAAGTGAATTGGGGGAAAAAAAAAAGATGACAAGCTGAGTTATTATTTTTATTTATGAACTACATACATTAATAAATAGTTATTTTCTATTTTATTGACATATTAATAAATAAATATATAAGGGAGGAGGATGGATGTGATACTTGCCATTAGTGATTAAACTGATTCATTTAGTTACAAATCTCATTGGTAAATTTAGGTAAGCAGCAACAGTAGCAAGAACTCCCAAAATAAATGCCATTCTTTAGGAAGCAAGCAGGAAAAAGAGCAATTATTGATCAAGCAACATGATAAGGAAGTACATATTTGACAATAAAGCGGTTGTTAGAATTAAGAATTTTTTTAGAAGATGTAGATACCCTTAATGTTTCACTAACAGAAAGACTGTGGAATGATCTTGCAGAATTCAAAACTCTTCTTCTACACCGTATATAGCCACAAAAAAGCTGCAATCTGAAGAATTCACAGGAGGCAAGAATGGAAGAATATAATGTTTGTTCTTTCTGAAATGGAGGGTTTATTGCAGAAGAAATCATTTCTTCAATGAAGAAAAGAGAAACTAGCTTGCTAGACAATGAGATCTTGCTGGGTTCAATATATGCAGATACGAAACACTGAATTTTCTTGGATGATGCCAAATTAAAAAGGCAAAGAAAGCCATCTTTGAACTTTCATTAAAAATGAAATTATTCTCAGAACTGTCAAACTGCAGGCATTGCAATCGAGTCTCTATTATTCTCTTCCGGTGATGAATAAAGATTTTGAGAAATATTTTTGAATATTGAAAAGGCTAAGGCAAAGGAAATGAAAATAAAGAACCAAGAGCCTTTAGATATAAAAATGAAAAAAATACAAACAAGATTTCTATATGGCCTTTTAAGAAATAGAGAAATATGATTATGCTTGCAAGACACCTCTTTTAGAATTTATAAAAATCTATCTTAAAAAGTTAAAAGAAGCAGCCCTAACAGTAACAGCTCTTCCTTCTACTGAATTCAGTGTGGAAAGCCGCTTCTCAGCTCTAAAGCTTATCAAATTGGATCTTGCCAAAGCTTTACTGTTTCTTAGAAATAAGTAATGCCAGTTTTTCCATTTCATAAAAAATGCTAATTAATATAAATAATTTGCTATGACATCAATTTTTTTTTCTGTAGCATCTATTACTTCTTTTATATTAAAAAAATAAGCTAAAAACAGCCCATGTGTATATGATATATACGAGAGTCGGTCATTTACCCTAAGCTCTTAAGCTTCTTATGTTTTCTAGAAATATGTATGCATTTGGCATACCCCCCTTCGTAACAGTAAATAAAATGACAGTTACAGTACATAATTACTTCATTTACAAAATCAATGTTCCGGAAAAATAAATCTCTACATACAGATTCCCAAAGAACTGAAAGGATCTAGAAGTAACATTTATCATAAAAGGACTTATAATTTATCTTCCAAGCACCCTTATGCACAGCCTCTCATTCTTAAGAGTATTGGCACTCAGCAAGCCTCAATACTTCAAATTTACCTTTAAAATCTAACTAATATGTTGTTTATGCATAAAATAAACAATTAAAAACAGTAAGGCTCACTTAATAGTCGAAATATTTAGTTTACTTTCTTAATAATGCATCTTAACTGATACAAAGTAAAATATATTTACTGGTGTATAAGACACACTTTTTTCCTTTGAAAATAAGTCCGAAAAACGGGGTGCGATACTCAGTTTTTGATCACATGCATTTCAGTTTGTGAATAGTTTAAAGCTTCACGGGATGCTGTAAAAACAGAGACAGTGGTTAAATCATTTAAGAAGTACGGCATTGCACTGGATGGTACAGAGGATAATTTGTTGTATGAGGACTCAGATGCTGATTTAGAAGAGGTTTCAAGAGACTCTTCATTTAGCTCTGGAGATGAGTGTCTGGGTTTTGACAAAGAAAATTAAAAGATGTTCTTTCCCAGATAGATTTGGTATTTGCAATTACTTTGTATATGTATTATTTTATATTTAAAATACTGTTAATTCATTATAATGATCAGTAATAAAGTTTTATCCTTCAAAAATGTGTATGAAAAAGAGGGTGCGCCTTAAAGGCCGGTGTGTCTTGTACGCAAATACGGTAATTTAAAATATACCCAAATGATAATTTTTATGAACATTGTGTTAAGAGATGTTATAATGCAATCTGAAGATTTTTTACAGCAATTTTTATTTATAAATATATTACACTAAATTTGGTAATTAATAAAACCAAAAAAGGAAAAATGAAAAATATAAACTTTATCAAATTATAAACATTTCAATAGTTAATCGGTGAGATGTGCTTGTTTATGCTTGCACTGCACTTTTCAACTGTTGTTGGGATTACTCTGTTAGGATGGATACAGACATACACTTAATTATCTTCAACATTTAGCCAGCTCCTATAATTATTCTTTTTTAAAAATGAATTTCATAATTTATTATAAAAGATAAATATTTAAATTGCAGTTTTTGATAAAAATGTTACTTCCACATTATAATCCAAAAACTAAGCACTGGCTTTTGGAAATGAACATCTAAAAATTAAAGGAATTTCAATCAAGTCTTCCTTAACAGGGGGACGAGACTAAATTTTTCAGACTTCACGGTGAAAGTGTCTCAGTTCTAATGATGATGAACACAAATATTAATTATAAAACAAATTTTGTCGCTTGGCCTTAGAGTTAAAACATAACTGCATTTTCATTTAGCAACTCTATTGCTAGACCTAGAGTCTTGATTTTCACAGTATACTCTTTATTGTGAACCTCTTGCATACCCAGAATCATTGATAAGCATCATCAATGGCTCAATATAATTGCTCTAAGATCTAAATCATTGAATGTACTAGCAAAACTGGCATTCATAAAAGAATATTTATTAAAAACATGATTCTTACTTTACATACCATATTCAAAGGGGTGCCAGCAGAGGATGCAGATGTGTCAGGACTCAAAAAGCCATCTGATTTATTATTATTGTTCTGACTGAGATTCATTCCTGCTGTTGGCTCTTTACTGCGTTGACGTGGAGTGCATCCGACCCCTCGAGCATAATTTCGCTTCAGGTGCTCAGATGTAAGAGGACGACATAGAGATAACTCTTCTGGATGCCTGATACCTAAAACAAAGTAACAGAAGTCAAAACTTCAGCTTCTTGATGCTGCAAAATTTAGTCTATAATACAACTAGGATCACAGCTGAATTAAGGCACGTGAAAGCCCAACATATAACATTTCTTTGAAGATACCTAATGGCCATTTCTTCAGTTTTCAAGAAAAAAAGATCATAGAGGGATCTACACCTCAGGTAACAGGCGCAGACTACATCTCCGATTTCTAAATTGTGGAGTTTTTTAATGCTCAGGAATATCTTACAATTTTTTCAAAAATGCTTTACATGAATACATGAATACTGAAAATGCATGAACTGTGTAACTATTCTGTACAGGGCCAGAAAACAAATTGCACATGCTCATATCATATATCTAAAAATTAAATAATTTATAAAAACAAAGAAAGGCCAGAATATTACAATACAAAATTTGTTAAAAATATAAAAAACCTTTATAATAAAAAATGTTTAAAAAAATTTAATTACACCCAAATTTTTTCTACAGCAACATTACAATGCTAGTTTTTATAATACTCTTTCTTTTCATGCTTACAACACACACTACTACTTATTTTTACTTTTTATGCTTACATACTTAAAAGTAAAACCCGCTTGAAATTTTTTAAAGTAATAACAGTTCTGGTCTGCCAAAATACATTAGTAATAGGTAAATCAGTTTTCTGCGAGACACTATCATCAATAGTTTTTCATTCATTTGATAAAGCATTATCGTTATATGTGTTAAAATGTGCTGATGCAGTTTTTTTTTAATCCACAATGCATTCATTAAGTTGTTAAAATGACTTGTGCTGCTCCTTACTAGTAGTAATTCAAAGTTTCTGGTTGCTTCTTGAGATCATGCGCCCAGCTCTGTCTCTAGAAACCACGCCCCCCAAACCCAGATACCCACCTTTCTCTGCAGTCAAACTTACTCCTGTGATCAATTGGATCCTCTTTTCTCAATGTCACTGATATTGAGAAAAGAGGCAAAAGTGCAAAGAGAGGCAAAAGTGCCTCTCTTTCTTATTTTCTTTTTTAGATTATCTTAGGAAACTTCCTGAGAATTCCCAACCCATAATGTCTCTTTATGGGATCAACTGAGATAGATGGAAAGGGCTGCTAAGAATTAGCAGGAACCTGCATTCATCCATCAACTGACAGCTTGAACCAGCATTGAGCAGCTAAGAATTAGCAGCTGAATGCTGGTTCAGCTGCTAATTAGAAAATGCTTTGAAAAATTGTTTTTACTCCATGCCTGCTCTCCCCCCCCCACTCTAAAATTATAATTTCCTAGGTTTGTCTACAAAAATTTTTGGTTTTTTAGTCTAGATATTAGTCTGGATATTAGATCTAGTCTAGATATTAGTCTGGATATTTCTAAGTCTGGATATTAGATCATTCCGGATGTTGAATGTCTGGATTTTGAACTTCATATTACCCAGTATCTGGACTATATATAGTTATTGGTGTATTAATTACAACAGACAATCAAAATTCAATACAATACGATTTATTAGTTATTGCTAAAACTGAATTAAGCTATTACATAATTTATAAAAGAGTCCAGAAAATCAATATTTTAATGCTGGAAAATCATAAGGATATTTCTTATTAATCACTTTCACAGCTTAACAGAAGACAAAATCACAGGACAAAACAAAACTCACAATATGATTCTCAGATTTTAGCTTAACACTTGGAAAGTGGTGAGGATTATTTTTACAATGGAAAATGTGCAAATTCTTCAAAAACTGATTTTCTCTTTTTCTTAAACAGTGTAAATAATTTTTCTTACAGGTAGTCTCAACAAGATATTGTTCATTACTTCTATATATCCCTCAATTTAAAATTTAAATATGACATGCAGTTTACTACAGAGTCTATCAGGATTGTACTAAACTTCACAAATTACAGTCTCACTGACATCTAGAAACATTTAAATACAAATGCTCTATTTTATCAGACTACACACAAGGCCCAGATTAAAAATTTAAGAGGGTCTTAAGATTTGACAAAAAAGATTTTCCTCCTATATGCAGGGGAACCCAAAAGTACATTGACATTTTAAAACTCAATAATTCACAGGATAATATAGATAAAGAGGTAAAAACTGACTCACATGCTTGAAATGCCATAGGGTTTTATTGAAAACAAAAAAACAACTTAAAGTGGCTAACAGATGGCACTAAGGTGACAAAAGCAATAATTAGAATAACAATTGACTTTTTCAGCAAAGAATATGTTCCTTACAGCAAATGCTCAACATGTCAGGCATCATTCATCAACAGTATCTGTAGTCGAGAGACAATGCTGTGAACAGCACTGTACAGCGTATGTTGAGTAATTGCCATCGGATGTTCTCTTTTAGCATCCCTGATGAGGTCAGATGATTGCGGTAGACTTGTGATTTCAGGTAACGCCACGACCAATAATCACATGAACTGACATCTGGGGACATGAAAGGAAATGAATGACAGAAATGGCGGCTCAGCACACAATCATTGCCAAACGATGCATGCAAGAGATCTTTCACACGTGTAGCAGTATGGGATGAAGTGCAATCCTGCATAAAAGTCAAACCTTCCAACAGGTGTCTATCAGCCACCTTTCTTTTGTGTTCCCCCCCCCTCCTTTCAAGCACGTGTGTCTACCTCTCTACCTACATTATTCTGTGAATTATTGAATTTTTCAAATATTAATGGGTTTCCTGTATATCATTTATGCTTATTTCTGCTCTATTCCTCCATTTTCTACCTTGATTTAGCTGCCCCACATATTCCACAATACAGCCAGAAATAAGATATTTTTATGGTGCCCCATTTTTCTGAATCCCTAAACACATGCTTATTTTTTTAATGGTTAATCTACCTCTGCCTACATGGTAAGTCGAGACTGTTTACCTGACACTGCTGTGTCTTCTAATAAAGAATACATATTTATAAGCAGAGACTTACCAAAAATCACCCCCTCTTAATTTTTTAAAAAAAGAACAGCAGTAAAATTGAATCCAAAAAAGTCAGTTTTCAAAAGTTAGTTAAAAAGTTTTTTTTTTTTTTTTTTTTTTTTTTTGGTAACAATTTATTCACTAAGAAAATGCAATATCCCACTAAAAGGTAACTTACATAAAATGTGACATGTTGCAAAGTTCCTTTTTTATAAATAATACCAATATGAATTTCACAAAGATCATATGAAAACAAAATATCCTGTTTCTATTTAAATGAAAAGAAAAATATATTCGGTTTTTTAGAAAAATTACTACCTAATGAAAGAATTTACATTTATTAAAACATATGTAAAATATATAATAATCATGCTGTTCATGAGCAATGATAATTAGCATTTACTTGTATACATGTATACAAGATAAAAACTAAAAAAGAAATGCATAGATTCTTCAATTTTATGAGCCACACTTCGTTAAAATAGCAAAATCTTCCTCTCTCTTTCATTAAACAGGATAATCAAGAAAATCACATTTTTGCTGCAGCAGTTAAATTTAAAAGAAGGGGAGAGAAAAAGGCAAAGAAACTTCAACTCAAATACTGCTGCAAAATTTTTTCAACATTAAGTTTTATTTCTCAAAATCGAAAATTTATGCAACTAGGAAATTAGATAAGAAATTCTGTAGCTTGAGATATACAACTGAGTAGTAGATATTGGTATTATGAACTTGGGATAATATATTAAAGATACAACAAATCATTACTACAAACATTTACACCAATGCACATCGAAAATATATTTAACATATGTACAACAAATATTTATCACTTAGTAATAACTACAAATTTCACACTGCAAGAATACCTATTTAATGTATTTACTCTACGTTAAGTTTAAATATGAAAGATCATTTTGCAAGTTGTTTTTCCAATGATTTCTTAATAAACCTAAAATATATTACCAAGCTCTTTGCAAAGTTTCTTGACAGCCGTGAATGTTTTGGCAGAAAAATCAGCCTTTATATCAATAAATCTTAAATCAGGTAACTGCAGCCTCAGATATTTATGCATAGGAGTAAAATGCAAAAGGGCATCAGCCTGAATTCCACACTGGTCCAGAGTCGAACGAGTTCGACACAGCCACATGTTTTTTTTCGGCCACCACAGTGCATGATCAGACCAATCAATGGCTACATCTAAGGAGATTAAAAATAAAATTAAAGGAGATTAAAAGTCAAATGTTATACACATATTTTTCAAATACAAAAGCAAGCAATTTACAACATGATGAGCAAAACTTTGTTTGATCAGTCTTTTCAGTTAAATTATGTTGTTCCCTAGTCTTATTAGATAACCGTAAGATTCATAACAATTTTAGGTACTATTCTGTTTTGAGGACCAGAAAAAAAAAAAAAAAAAATGCAGCGAAAATTTATGCACAAAAGCGCCAAATCCAGCATACACGCTGATTTCAGATTTCACAAGTTTATATAGTTCTATATTTCTTAAGATGCCATTGAAATACTAGTTTAATTCTCAAAACCGAATAGTAACCAATTTTAATAATGTCCTTTACAATAAATAACTTACAAGAGCAACGCGTTTTAAAACATTTACACAAAATATGCATGAAATACGGCTACCTCAAATGCTAACCAAACATACTAAATTTTCAGGACTGACAAATTTTCCTTTTCAAATGACTATTTTCAGAACTGACAAATTTTCCTTCTCAAATGACTATTTTCAGAACTGACAAATTTTCCTTCTCAAATGACTATCTCCAATATGTCATTTATATAATTTTATTAACAACTGATTTTAAATATTTATAAACAGCTTTCCATTTCTGAATATAATCAATTTTATAATCAAATTTCTGTTGCAGGGTAAGTCTTTTTGATTGAATTCAATGACAATCTGATTTTAAAACATGAGATAATAGGGAAGAATGTTGTAAATTTGATACTTTCCTGAAAAAATAACAGTACTTATGTATAACACAACAACCTTGGTGTAGTTTGATTAACTTTATGAAAGAAAGAGAACAATTACTTTTATTGTAAAAAATTATACACAAAATATTTCACATTTCAATTACATATTTATTAAAAAAATTGTAGTAATCACTTCCAGAAAGGATTGAAAGCATTGTTCCATGAGCAATTTTGCCAAAAAATACTATATTCCTGCAATTTCTTTTACTGTAAGAAAATACATATTATAAAATTAAGCACAGTTAAATATTATAAATACAAGCACATATCATAAAATGGTACTTTTCCGTTTTGCCGGCGCAAGCGATGAAGTCGCCAATAATGGTACAACCGATGCCAAATGGATTATTCTCTCTGGTAATCTTTTACGCCTCATTTTCAAAACAAGTCGCAGCTTTTTCTTATCAGATTGATTGTTTCTTTCAATACTGGCATATAATTACATATAATTTTTATCAGATAGTTCAGTTTTATGTCTAAGCCCATTTTCAGTAATTAAGTCAATTAGGATGCAATCACAGCGCTTACCCGAAGCCGAAAATATAGAAAACGTAAAGTCAAGGGTTAAATTCATCCATTCTAATGAGAATGCATTAGCGAAGTAAAGCACTGCAGTTTTACATAATTTCTGAGTAAGCTATTCGCATGAATTGAAATATTTCTTGCACTTAAACTTGTGTTCCAAATTAAGATTTAACTCGAAATTAATGTAGATAATTACTGAGAGTATCAGATTTTTGTAGAGTAGTTAGTGTTTATGTGAGATGAGATTGCTTGGGATCACGTGATATGAACCGGCGAATCAGGATGTTGAACCATGAAAGCATAGTAAATTCTTAAATTAATGTCTTTTTACAAATTTATTGTCTTTATTTATTGGCTTTTTATAAAATTTTAAGCGATATTAAAATGTTTATGCCTTCAAAAAAGAATTCTTAGAACTAAAATTTTTTTAATATTTTTTATGTGCATACTGTATGTTGTCGCCAATAAAGTCTACTTGGCGAGATTTGCGCCGACGAAACGGAAAAGTACCCATAAAATTAAGTTAAAGGGGGGAATCTCGATTTATTCATAAAACCACCAGAATTTGGAATACAACAAAGGACATATAGTATGAAAATGGCAACTTTGGAAATTGAATGATTGAATAAATTGGTCATGAGCCTGAATAATTTTATGTGCATGATTACCAGAGCTGAATGCATTTTGAGACTTTAAAGATTGCTATTAAGGTAGTAATGATAATGATTAGGATAATACATAAGTACCAAAATAATATTTTAATACAAGTATTAATGTTTGGAATAGGCTAAGAAAAGAACATGTTTCTTTACGAAAAGAACATTTTTTTATAACATACTTTGATATAATAAAATATTCTACATTTTTAAACGTATCAACACACACACATACAAACACAAAAAAAAAAAAAAAAAAAAAAAAAAAATATGTATATACATATACCTAGCTCTTCAACTAAATTGAGCATTACGCCACCTATATGGAGGTCACCTTTAACCCTGAGAGTTCTTTCAACCTGCAAGTCTGTGACCAATATATGAAGCTCCCAAGAGCCATCGCCAACAAGATAGCCACCATCAGCTATCATTTTAGTGTTCTGAAACTGGAAAAAAAAAATTATGCAAATGTTTACCTAAGTGGAACAAATACACATATAAAATTCATTCACACAAAATTAACATTCTTTACAAAGATACGTACAAAATAAATTAGATAGACAAAAAAAAAAAAAAAAAAAAAAAGACCTTGGTACATATAAAATTATGTCATATGCTACATATAGCAGGTGTGATTGCATTTTGGACAGCAGGATTCAGGAAACACAGAGACTGCACCAAGCAAACACTAAGCCAGAATCACTAACTTTTAACTAGAGACCAATTATTCTCTTCATATTTCTTACATTGTATGGTTAATTTCCTTTCCGTGTCATATAATTTAAGTTTTCATAATTTTACCATTTTGTGAACTTCAGTATACTATTTGTTTAGATTTTGATGTCTGATTTCATTTCAATTAAACTTATGCACAGCCACTACCTGAAGAGGAGATGGTACTCTTCTGTTTGGGACCAGATTCATAAATGCAAATATGTATGTGGTGTATAGGTGTATGGATGTATGTATGTGTGTGTACTTAGATTTTGATGTTTGATTTCATTTCAATTTCACTTATGCACAGCTATTATTTGAAGAAGAGATGGTACTCTTCTGTTTGGGACTGGATTCTTAAATGCACATATGTATGTGGTGTGTGGGTGTATATATGTATGATGTATGTATGTGTACACACACATGCACACATAACATACATTTATGAATCTGGTCCTGATAACAGAAAAGTACCCAATCATGTCACAAAGCAAAATGACCTATAGCCAGTTAAATAGGTAAAATAAAGGTATAATCCTGAGAGCAGCTATTCATGAAGAAAAGTCTGTTTCTATTCAAAACTGATAAATGCAATGCTACTTTTCTTTAATTCTTGTCAATTATTGGGCGATAGCTTCCCCTTTCAGGGTTGCTGGAAAAAGGCAAGGAAAGGCACAGTTGCCAGATTTGGCATGTGTGTGTGTGTGTGATTATGGCAAAGCCTCGAGGGCTATTTGCCTAAGGGGAGGGATGCCTTCGTGGAGGACTTTCTAAGGGAAAATGGCTCGTATACACGTTACACATGGGGAAAACCCCGAAAACGCCCATGCAGCCAGCCCGTTCGCGGGATTCGAACCTCGGACCGAACTACCAGTGTTCAGCGACTTTACCGCTCGGCCGCTGGTGGGCCCAGATTTGGCAAGAAACTGCCCATTTGACGATATGTTACTCTTTTTTTTGGGGGGGGGACAAATAAATTGTGTTTTGATTCTTCATCAAGTGTTGTCATCAATCATTACAAATCCATGAACCCATAAAATGCAACAATATTTTAATTTAGTTTCAACTTCATTTCTAGGTATTCCTTTTTCGATACCAAGCTAGGAAAATATAAATGTAAATGCACTAGCTAAGTCAACAAGTTACATGAAGTCAGCTAATATTAAAATACAGATGGAAGTATTAATTAAATTAAGATCTGTCTTTTGGATTTTAAAATTTAACAGCACAATTTAGATGTGATCTTAAAAGTAACATCGACGACTTTGAAACTAAAATCAATTCTCGAATTACATAATTCAATAATGTTACTAAAAATATACAGGAGCTGTCCACAATAATTGAAACACTTAAAAATTTAAAATTGTAGGTACTAGGGTAAATTGTAGGTTAAAGACCATACCATACCATACATTTTAGAGCCATATCGACACATTTCTTTCTCTGCAGCTTTTGTTTGATACTACGCAAAATGGAATGATTAAGAACTGCAATACATAAATCTTTAATTTCATGACTAAAATCCTCCAAAAGAAATAATCCAACAAACCATGTTTACGTTTTTTAATTAGTTAATTTACTAAAAAGCACCACTAAAATGCTAGTTTTAAATTCAAAATGTGTATAATGTGTGACAAAGCAATCAATTTTAATGCTACCATCTAAACAATAACTAATTAATTAAAAGGATAGATCCTACACTACATTATTAACCTACACAGCTATTTTGCCTTCAAGTCACTATTTCATGAAGTAGTTATTTCTTTGTGAAGAACATCTTCTGCTTGAAGAAATGAGATAACAACTGCTTCACAAATCCAGTCGTAGCAGTTAAAAAAAAAAAAAAAAAAAAAAAAAAAAAAAAAAAAAAAAAAAAAAAAGAGGATGAAAACCCAGACAATTCTCGCCAGGACAAAAGCCAACCCAAACTACTGATACCTGGCGCAGAAGAAATATACAGAACGAATGGGGGGGGGGTACTAAAAAAAATTCATGTTTTAACTGACAGAACCTAATATAGCATAAGAACACTTCTGGCATATAAAATTGCTTGAAATCATTTTGGAGTGGAGGCAAATCATCACCTTAAAAATTTGTTTTATTCACTATAAGCTTAGACAAGAATGACAGTAATAAATATTGGTATTTCTGTGTTACAGTGGCCCCCAAGATTGAACCACCAATCAACTTGCATACCTCGTCAAAATCTGGTGGCGTGCTCTTAGACCTTGCTACATGATAGATTCGATTGGATTATTTAATTATGGCAAAGCACACGAGGACTATCTACCTAAAGGGAGGAATGCCTTCATGGAGGACTTTCTAAGGGAAACTGGCTCGTATACACGATACACAAGGGGAAAACCACGAAAACGCACGTGCAGCCAGCCCAGCTTCGCAGGATTCAATCCTCGGACCGAACTACAAGTGTTCAGCATCTTTACTGCTCAGCCGCCTGGTGGGTCGCCACATGATAGTATACACTGACTACCAATAAGTATTTGGACACCTATGCAAATGACGATATCTGCGGTCCTAAGGTACGTCACGGACTCCGCCGGTATATATCGTGTAGGAAACAGCATCGGCTTTAGTCGCATGCAAGATGCCTCGCAGTTCAGAGCTCTCTGATTTCGAGAAAGGTATAACTATCGGGTATCACAAATGTGGCCGATCCTTAAGGGACATATCTAGTGATCTGAAATACCCAAAATCGACAGTGGCCTATGTGATTAAGAAGTGGAAGGTGAGCGGTGATTGTCAGAATGTGCCCCGAGTCGGCAGACCAATGAAACTGGGAGATAAAGACCGACGAGTGCTGTCCAGAGAAATTTGGAAGAACCGCACCCAACTGATGGCCCTCATCCGCGAGGAGTTTCAACAGGTATCCGGAAGTATTGTTTCAATGAATACCATCCGTAAGGAAGCACATCTGCTTGGTTTTCATGGTCGTGCTGCTGCCCATAAGCCTTTGATCACAAAGTCCAACCGTGCGCTGCTCGGTTAATGTGGTGCAAAGCACATCGAAATTGGACCGTAGATCAGTGGAAAGGGGTTCTTTGGAGTGACGAATCAAGGTTCACCCTTTACCGTTTGGATGGCAGCGTCTGGGTCTGGCGTCTACCTGGAGAACGTCTCCTGCCAGAATGCATTGTTCCAACAGTCAAGTTCGGCAGAGGTGGAATTATGGTCTGGAGGTGTTTCTCCTGGTATGGGCTGGGATCCTTGGTCCCCATTCATGGTAAGCTCAACTCCGATGCCTACTGCACTATTTTGGATGACAATGTGCTTCCTACGTTGTGGCAGTTTTAAGGGTTGGACCCCTGTTACTTTCAGGACGACAATGCCAGTCGTCATGTTTCGACGTTAACCAAGGCTTGGTATGGTGCCAATGGAGTTCATCGAATGGACTGGCCTGCCCAGAGTCCAGACCTGAACCCTATGAAGAACCTCTGGGACCAGTTGCATCGCCGAATTCAGGGGTGCACTACCCTTGCAAAATCAGTGAAGGAACTTCTATGTCTTCTCCAAGCCGAGTGGAAGAAAATACCACTAGCTGTCATACAAAGACTTGTGGAAAGTATGCCCCCGGAGGGTCCACGCTGTAATTACCTCTCGTGGCTCTACCAACTACTGATTTTGAATAAAGTTAGTTTTTCTTTTCTATCACAGGTGTCCAAATACTTATTGGTAGTCAGTGTATTAGCAACAGCAACATGTTCTTATACCTTGCCAAGTAAATTACATATTAACACCATGTTGCATTTTTTCTCTCACTGCATGTTCTTATATTATTCATTTTTGATGAGGTTTTTTGAATTTGAATTGTTTACTTGAAAATAACTGCTTTTTTGTGAACTGCTTGAACTGCTTTTTTGTGTGTGAATGTGATGTTAACAATTTTTACTTTACCAAATAATGACATGGATGTCATATCATTTTCCTGGCAAAGAGGTCTCTTATTTGACAAACAAACATGCATAAATGGTCACAACATGAAATTTTATGTTAATGACACAACCATTTGAAGATGCAATGTTGAAATTTACAAAAAGAAGGACATCCATGTTGGAAATCGGTTCAGCGGTTCCAGAATATCGTTCGTCACTGCTATTAGATAGCAATTTTAGGCAAAGGAGTTGACATCCATGAAATGGCATAACAAATGGCTTAATATGTGCTGCAGTTGACTGGAACAATTACATCCCATAAAATAAGGATTCTTAAAAATATTCTTAAAAACAATATTCGAGTATTATTGTTATTATATATTGTGTTATTTATTTTTACATTCGCACTTCATGAGCTTGTGAAGTTATAGCCAAGATCTTAGCGCAAATCTAAAATCACCAAATAAAGTTCGAGGCTGCTATACCAAAGAAGTAACTAACTAGGTATTTTGGCTGATCTTTAGAATATGGTAACTGGTAGTTTGGCGACATTTTGGAGGCGATAAAGGTTACTACCTGGGACTTTGGTAATAATGTGAGCAGTACTCAGTTCCGATTACGCATTATTTTGTGTGAGGGAAATGAGAGATCATGGGATATGTCATGTGATATTAATGGACGAATTACGGTTCTTTAATTTGGAAAAGGGGGGAAATCGGGAAAAAATCTGGAAATTTTGTATTTGGCTTTATTCTGTGTTGTGTGAATTTTATTTTTAATTCTGTGTGTGAAATTAATTTTTGGATCCCATGGCCCTAACTAAAGTGAATTCGAAATGGGTA